CATTTTTTACATAAAAAATCACTCAATTTCTCAATCCATCTCTCATTCTCTCATTCTCTCAATTTATCAATCTCTCAATCTTATTATCTCTATTTAATTTTTATACATTTAATATTCATATAATAATATAAAAATTTTATACATTAAAATTTTGAAATTTTCAAAATTTTAATATATAAAATTTCGAAATTTTTTCAAATTTTTCAAAATTTTAAATATTATTAATTTTTAAATATATTCTTTAATCTTTAAATAATTTAAATATATTCTTTATTTTTTGAAATTTTTGAAATTTTAATATATAAAATTTCGATTTTTTTTTTAATTTTTCCAAAAGTAATATAATATTTTAATATCAAAAAAATATATATTAAAATGTCGAGGGAGTCCGGTAGACGGTCCGTGGATATGGGCGACGTCAACCGAAGATTGAGTAAAGGCAAAGCTAAAGCCACCTCCGACGGTTCGACCTCACGCGGACACGGTTCTCGAGGAAGACACTCCGTCTCTTCGTTTCCTACTGTCTCAGATCATTTAATCGGGGACGCTATGACGGATGAAGAATTCAACCAGATTTATTCTGGTAGAGGAGACGCGAATCTCCCCACTCTTGATAGTCTATTCGAGGATGTTGATGAAGCAGGACTGGATAATCTTGACGGGGACGATGAGCCTACACCGCAAAGCAACGTCGTCGACGTGGAGGCAGGTGAGCCCGAGACCTCTCGAGGTCCGGACAAAGGTAAAAAAAATATAAATCAGAATTATTTGTTTATCATTTTGACAAAGACACAAAACATGGCATAGTTTATGGAACTTGTAAACATTACGGGACCGTCATAAAAATGGGAGTTTCCGGCGGTTATGGCGGTCCGGAAAAACACCTAAGGTCGAGGCATCCCGTGGAGTACGCCAAATACGAGGCCAAAAAAAAGGGACGACAAGAAGTGCAAACCCAAATTTCTCGGTTTGCTAACAGAGGTAAGGGCAGCCTTTTTGCTTATAGCGACGAGCAAAATAGGCAAAAAATGGCCGAAATGATTTGTGAAGAAAATTTGCCATACATGTTTTCTGAAGAACTTGGTTTTATTGATTATTGTCAACAGGCATTAAAGCCTCAAGCACGAGGTTTTTCAAGAAAAACAATTAAACGAGAAACTATTCGCCAGTATAAAATGGAAAAAATTAATTTGGCAAATTTTTTTCTCAATTTTAATTCTCGTGTTGCTATTTGTTCTGATATTTGGAGTGAAACTTATCATAATTTGTCTTATATGAGTGTTACTTGTCATTGGATAGATAGCTATTGGATTATGCATCCACGTGTTCTTGCATTTCGTGATTTCAATGATCAGCATACTGCTGAAAATATTTTCCTATTGCTTCAGAGTATTCTGCGGGAATATAACTTATCTGAAAAAGTTTTTTCATTTGGTTTTGATAATGCTACTAATAATACTGTTGCTATTCCTAGACTTAGAGAAATTTGCCCACCGTCTACGACTATGGGTAGATTTCTGCATCAACGGTGTGTCTGTCATGTTTTAAATTTATGTGTTCAACAGGGACTACAAGCTATGGGCGGAGTTTTGACAAATATTAAAGAAGAAATTAAAAAAATTTGGGGGGCTCGTCTTATTTCGAGATCCTGAAAGATGTTCTGTAAGTCTAAGGGTAAAAAAGAAATAAGTTTTGCCAGAGATATCAACATTAGATGGAATAGTACTTATAAATTGATTGCACAGATCCTAAGATATAAAGAGGAACTTGCTGAATTTTTTAGGGATGAACTTCGTATAATCATTAATCCTTTTGAATTTGTTATTGTTGAAAAATTGAATGCCGTATTAGAAGTTTTTAATAACGCAACCCTTACTTTTTCCCATGTTTACCAGCCAACTACAATCGCAACATGTTTTCGTGAAAGTATGGCTGATCCAGATTTGTACCCTTATGTCTCTCCTATGAGAGATAAATGGTGTACTTATTATTTGTACATTCCTGATATTTATAAAATAGGTATTATTTGTGATCCACGATTTAAGATTGAAAATTTTAAAATTCTAATTGAGTATTACTACAGTTGTTTTTTAGATAAAAATAGTTATTACTACAGCTATTTAGTAGAATGAAAAAATGAAAGAGATAATGCTATAACTCTTTTTGAGGATTTGTTTAAGGAATATCAAGGGTTATACGGTATTGTACAAGAAGAAATAGCACCNTACAATCGCAACATGTTTTCGTGAAAGTATGGCTGATCCAGATTTGTACCCTTATGTCTCTCCTATGAGAGATAAATGGTGTACTTATTATTTGTACATTCCTGATATTTATAAAATAGGTATTATTTGTGATCCACGATTTAAGATTGAAAATTTTAAAATTCTAATTGAGTATTACTACAGTTGTTTTTTAGATAAAAATAGTTATTACTACAGCTATTTAGTAGAATGAAAAAATGAAAGAGATAATGCTATAACTCTTTTTGAGGATTTGTTTAAGGAATATCAAGGGTTATACGGTATTGTACAAGAAGAAATAGCACCACCTCCGCCCCCGAAATCAAAAAAAGGTTTTGCCGGCATAGTTGGTGGCCTTCTTGCAAAAAAAGGGAAACGTGTCTAGTCTTCGGCGAGTTCAAGTGGTACAACAGTAAGCTCACACAACAAACTTGCTATGTACCAGGGTGTGCCATGCGATTACGATGACGACGATGTGGATTTTGACGTGCTCGGATGGTGGAAGCGGAACGAACACATGTTCCCATGTCTCGGCATGCTAGCAAGACAAGTGTTGTCCGTCCCAGTATCAACCGTAGCAGTTGAACGAGAATTCAGTGCTGGTGGCAACATTCTAACCGACTACCGAAGTTGTCTTAACGCTGAATCTCTTGAAACACTGGTTTGCAACCAAGATTGGCTCTTGGCAAGACGTCGGGCTCAAGAGTCATCGTACCAACTCGAATCGGAGCATTACATGAATGCAACCACAGATGGAAGTCTGAGTTCTGAAGAATAAGTTATAATTTTTTTTTATGTTAATGTAAATATGTAATTAATTTTTTTAGGTGAGCGATATATAAGCTCCTTCGAGGGTTTCTTTACGGTTCTTTACCTCGTCGCTTTTTTTGAACCGTCAAGATATTAAATGTGGTTGTTCTTCAGTTAGTGTATTACTCATTTTCAATATTTAAATAACAACTACATTTTTAGATTTTTTATTTCATTCTTTCCTTAAACAATTGCAAATTTACAATTTTATACTTTAAAAATTTAAAAAAAAAAGCAAAAAAAATAAAAATAGGGGGGGGGGGGGGGAACCCGGCCGGTCCGGGAACCGGAACCGGTACCGGCCGGCACGGTAACAATTCTGGTTACATGGGGTGGCGGTACCGGAACCGGCGGTTCCGGAACCGGAACCGTACCGTGTCCACCGCTATTTATATATTTATAAATTACTCCTTCCGTCTTAAAACTTTCTTCCCGTTGCGCAAAACGAAGAAAAATCCCAAGTTTTTTCAATCTATTTTATTTAAATATTGGTATAGAAATAAAAAATAAATAAACATACATATTTAAAAACTACATCAAAAGTTCAACAAAACAAGTGGTGACAAGAATATTTTATTTTATCATATAGGTCATGAAAAAACACAAATAAATATAAATTCTCGTGAAGTTGGAATAATGCTCTGGGAAGAAAGTTTTAGGAGGGATGGAGTATATTTTAAAAATGTTGCAAAAGAGGATGTGACAAAGTTGTGTCTTTATGAAAAGTTTTATGGTGAACTTAAAGTTCATGTCCATTTTCTCATACCATTTTTTTTATATTTCTATTTTTTGAAAAATGCTTATCTTGGTACTTAGTACGGAGTAAATGATTATTTAGGGTATAGGAGGATCTACCATACACAATGCTCCCTCCATTCATATTTTAATTACAATGTAAAATTTCATGATTTTTGAAATCATTTTATTTACAAATTGGTACATCAATAAAAAATAAACATTACATGTTAAAAAACTACGTCGAAAGTTTTACAAAAGAAGAGGTGACAAAAATATATTTTATTTTATCAAATAATCAATGAAAACACACAAATAAATAAACATAATTGATAAAAGGGAAAAAATAAAATTGTAATCAAAATGAAGACGGGAGGAGTATGAACCTTAGATGACCCATGCAAGTAATTACTTATTCGTCTTATTGTTCCAAATAAAATCCACACAAGGATTTACAAAGTATGAAGTATATAAGGTAAACTGAGATATGATTAAATTTAATTTATTTGAGAATTATTATAAAAATAAAAAATTACAATAAATTTAAACTCTTTATAAAGTGCAAGTTTAATTTTCTCTCTGAACTTTAAAAATGTACCATTAATCCATAAACGTTTAATAAAGTGCGTGTCTTAGTGCATGTTTCCCCTCTAAAATTTTTAAAGTGAATCATTAGTTTTTATACTTTTTATAAACTACGCATTGTTTTCCTTAAAATTTCAAAAGTGCACCATTTGTCTGATTACCTTTTTCTTTATATTCAACTTTGTTAAAGACATTGTTGAATCAAGAGAAATTATTAAGATTTCAAACATACATCATTTTAAGGAGGGAGATGTTAGGGGTACACCAAAGGTGTATCCCAAATGTCCCACATCCCCTCCATAACCACTCATTTTTATTCGATTTTTATTTACTTTTTGTTTTAAATTTTCTTGCCTTTTTTGTGGACAAGAAGGGGTGGAGGACATTTGAACCCGTAGTATTTTCCTTTAAGGAATATAGAGTGGGACTAATGTCTATGAAAATGTAATTTAAGGGGAAAAAATTACTACGAGGTACCATAGATTTTGTAAGAAGAACTGCCAAGTCTCATTATTTTTTAAAATTTACTCTGGGGTCAAAAAAGCTACTCCTGAGTGACATTCCGTTACTCTCTCCGTTAATCTCCCTTCTCTGTTAACTTCTCCTTCTTCCCCATTTTCAATCTTCTTCTTCTTCTCTCCTCTCCTCCTCCTCCACCTTTGAATCTTATCGAGCCCCCATCATCCCATTTTTTCTTCTTCTCTTTTTTCTTTTGAACTCTTTTTTCTTCTTACCTATTATTATTATTATTATTTGTTACTTATTATTATTATTATAAAAAATTTAATTAGTAATTTTACCATTCTTATTCTTTTTTACTTCATATTTATTACGGAGTATTATTTTCTTCTTATTCTATTATTATTACGGAGTATTACTATTATTATTAATTACTCCATATTATTTTTATTAATAATTATTACTATTATTATTAAAAATCAATTATTAGTTTTACTACTCTTTTTTTAAGAAAAATAACAATAATAATTACTATTTACTTCTTATTATTTTATTTTCTTCTATTGTTTTACTTTGTATGCCCCTATTGACCTTTCCCAATTTCCAAATTTTCACTTGCGTAAAAGAAGTTAAAATATTTTTAAGTTTTATTTAAAATTTAATTTTAGTATGATATATTTATGTATAGTTTATAAAATTAATATTATTTATTCACTTGGTTATAAATTATACGTCGCATTTCATAATGGCGGCTATCGATGACTACTGCGTGACTAATGTGAAAAACAACATCGAATGACAAAAAATTAGAATAGTGAAGGTACTAATAATTTTTTTAATAATGATAATATTAAGTTTTATTTTAAATAATAAGTGCTATTTTTATAAATAATAATAATAAGTGTTATTTTTCTTAAAAAAAGAGTGATAAAACTACTCATTAATTTTTAATAATAATAATTATATATTAAAACAATAGCAGAAAAGTAAAATAATAAGAAGTAAATAATAATTAATACAAAGTAATAATAATAAGTACTATTATTTTTTAAAAAAAATTATAGTAGTAAAATTACTGAATAATTTCTTTTAATAAATAATACTATTTATAATTATAAGTGTTTTTTATAATAAGTGATATTTTTCTAAATAAAAATTACTGATATTTTTCTTAAAAAAGAGTACTAAAACAAATAATTAGTTTTAATAATATTATTAACAATAAAAATGATATGGAGTAATTATTATTAATAATAATAATATTAGAAGAAGAAGATTGAAAATGGGGAAGGAGAAAAAGTTAACGGAGAAGGAAAACTAACGGAGAACGTGACAGAATGTCACCCTGGAATAGCTTTTTTGATATTTTAAGGTAACTCGAAGTACATTTTATGGTGTAAAAAATAATGAGCTTCTAGCAAAATCTAGGGTACCGGCCGTAATATTTTCAATTTAAGGGCTTCTTTGTTTTTCCACACCCCTTGGCATTTTTGAAACTTAAAAGATTATACTCAGTGTTTTAGATCGATAAAAACTGGAGGACATCTCTCCGTTAAACTAAAAGCGGTGGCAACATCTGATCTTCCAGCTGCGGTCTGCAACGCGCATTGAAGCCAGCTTGTTCTCGGAGCCTTGAATTATCTGTTCCTAGCGACTCATGTTTAGGGTTTATTCAGACAAGACTCTCCAATCGCGATTTTAGGGTTTCATCAGATTTCTAGCTGGTTCGGTCACCAGAACTAAAGAACTATGTCAAAGAGAAAGTTCGGATTCAATGGATTTGCTATTAATCGACCGGAAACATACAGCTTCGAGCGAGCGGAAGCTCCCCAGCGCCTCTACGTGCCGCCGTCATCCCGCTCAGGTGGTGTTCACGACAATTACGAAGATACTGACCTGGACAACATCGGTTACGATGATGGGGACGGAGGCGACACTAAGGAAGACCGCAACGGAGGTGGTGGCGCAGACGAAGATGAAATCGACCCACTAGATGCCTTTATGCAAGGGATTCAAGAAGAAGTGAGGGCAGCGCCACCTCCAAGACCCAAGGAGAAGTTGGACAAGTATAAAGACGATATGGATGATGATCCAATGGATAGCTTTTTGAAGGCTAAGAAGGATGTTGGGTTGCAACTTGCTGCGGATGCTCTAAATGCTGGCTACAACTCAGATGAGGAGGTTTATGCTGCGGCTAAGGCTGTGGATGCTGGTCTTGTAGAGTATGATTCCGATGATAATCCTATAATTATTGACAAGAAAAAGATCGAACCTATTCCAGCTCTGGATCATAGCTCAATTGACTATGAGCCCTTCAACAAGGACTTTTATGAGGAAGACCCCTCTATTTCAGGTATCAATTTTTATTTGTATCCCTTAAGAATCAGGCCAAAGTGTGGTTTTTCCCGCTATCTTTCCATTTTTCTTCCTTCTGCTACAGTAAAACAAATATATGAACCCTATATACTCCCTATAAGAGTACACATTTCATTATTACTCCATATAAAATATTTTAATCAAAGTTTAAGTTTTTTTTGAATATATTACTCTATCCAGTTATACCTTCAATAGTGGTAGTTTGGTCCAAATATATTCTTGTATAGAGGTTTTACTGGATAATGTTTAATGTAACACACTGCTTGAATCTAGAATGTACTTGCAAGAAAAAAAGAGATGTGCCTCATTTACATACACTTATTATAAAAATAGTGGATAAGCCACCACAAAATTTAGGAGCAAGTTATGTATAATTAGGTGCGAGATTCTAATGCCATTTCTTTATTTGAATGACTTCATTCCATCACCATTTTACCCTAACCCCCTAAGGCCACCAATCAAACTTAATGAGCATGTAGTGATCTTGTTTCGTGGTCAACTGGTAATGTTAGTGGCTGCTGTCTTTTCTTGGCGGTTTTCTTTTCCAACACATGTAGTTATATACTCCGTATCTATTTTATTGATGTTATTAGTGTCATTTTTTTAATGTAGTGACTAGTGAGTGATTGATTATGTGCATTCTGTGTAGGCATGAGTGAGCAGGAGGTTATTGAATATAGGAATAGCTTGGCTATCCGTGTCTCGGGTTTTGATGTCCCTAGACCAGTAAAGACATTCAAGCATTGTGGGTTTTCTGCTGAGCTAATGAAAGCAATTTCGAAACAAGCATTTGAAAAACCTACGCCAATACAGTGCCAAGCTTTACCAATTGCCCTTTCTGGGAGGGATATCATTGGCATTGCCAAGACCGGATCTGGCAAGACTGCTGCATTCGTGCTCCCAATGGTTGTGCATATTATGGATCAAGCTGAAGTGGGGAAAGATGAAGGCCCTATTGGAGTAATATGTGCACCCACCAGGGAACTAGCACATCAAATATACGTGGAGGCAAAGAAATTTGCAAAGTCTCATGGCGTTAGAGTCGCTGCTGTTTATGGTGGAATGTCTAAGCTGGAACAGTTTAAGGAATTAAAGGCTGGATGTGAGGTGGTTGTTGCTACTCCCGGGAGATTAATTGATATGATTAAAATGAAGGCTGTGACAATGTTGAGGGCAACTTATCTAGTGCTTGATGAGGCTGACCGAATGTTTGACCTTGGCTTTGAGCCACAGATAAGGTCAATTGTTGGTCAAATCAGGCCAGACCGTCAAACTTTACTATTTTCAGCAACTATGCCACGCAAAGTTGAAAAGCTAGCGAGGGAAATTCTTTCTGATCCTGTACGAGTCACAGTCGGCGAGATTGGGATGGCAAATGAAGATATCACACAAATGGTTCAAGTATTGCATTCTGATGCTGAAAAGTTGCCTTGGCTTTTTGAGAAGCTTCCTGGACTGATTGATGATGGTGACGTTCTTGTGTTTGCTTCCAAAAAAGCTACAGTGGATGATATAGAATCACAACTTTCTGAAAGGGGGTTTAAAGTCACAGCTCTTCATGGTGACAAGGATCAGTCATCTCGTATGGAGATACTGCAGAAATTTAAAGCTGGAACATATCACGTGCTTATTGCTACTGATGTTGCTGCCCGTGGTCTTGACATCAAGTCAATTAAGTCAGTGGTAAATTTTGATGTTGCTAAAGACATGGATATGCACGTGCATAGAATTGGGAGAACAGGCCGTGCTGGTGACAAAGATGGGACTGCCTACACTCTTATCACCCAAAAAGAGGCACGGTTTGCGGGAGAACTAGTCAACAGTTTGATTACCGCCGGTCAAAATGTGTCTGATGAACTCATGGACCTAGCAATGAAGGTACGCTTCATCCTTGTGCAATGCATTTAGTCTCCCTAGTTAATAATAACTTCACTAATTTGTTGAATTAATCAATATGTTGCTCTCTCTTTCCTTGTGAGTTTTTGTAGTGTTGGGTCCCTTTAAAAAACTGATTTCCTTTTTCTTTTTCTTTCTAATGATTGACAATTCGAACATTCAGGATGGAAGATTCCGTTCCAAACGTGATGCACGGAAAGGAGGTGTGTTACTTGTTTTTTAAAAATGCAGATAATTAACTGAGTAGAATATTTCAGCAGCATCCAAAAATATACTACTTTTAACCATGGACCATCATGAACACTAATTTATTCAAGCTGACAGGTGGAAGGAAGGGGAAAGGAAAAGGTGGGAGTGGTCGAGGTGTGCGTGGTGTGGATTTTGGCCTGGGCATTGGATACAATGCAGAAGCAAGTAATGCTCCTCCCACTGCTTCTAGCCGTACTGCGGCAGTCAATTCTCTTAGGACGGGAATGATGGCACAGTTTAAGAGCAATTTTGTTGCTGCTTCGTCATCAAATGCCCAAAACCAGGCATTATCAAGTAACAGTTCTTCGGGAATGAACCCTAACAAGAGAATGGCTCTGGCCGGGTTTGTGTCTGGGGGTACTATTGGCGGTGATGCAAACCCTTCTCGGACTGGTTCTGCCACATCATCATCATCTGCCGTCGGGAATCAGAAATCAAGGGAGGACGCTACTAACCAGTCGAGCTCAGGAAGGTTAGCTGTGCCCTTGTGTTCCCTTTCTTTCACTTTTGTTTTCAAATTCTCACAACTGTTATAAATTATATTTTGATTTTATTTTTTGCAGCTCAAGAGATAGACAGAGAGAAAGGAGGAGGCCTTCTGGTTGGGACAATTGATTTGTTTTGTTTTTTTGAATACTGCTCTGTTATTTTCAGCAGGCTCATTCACATACAACTCAAACTGGATGATTGAGATGACCAGACTCAGTTTGTGTACTATCTCAGTCTATCACAAACTTGCTTAGTTCAACATCCTTCTCCCAAAATCTGATTTCAAATGGTTTTGAGTTATTCTATTATACTGTACAACTAACTATTCATCATCATATCATAGTGAGAAATGTAAACATGCTCTCATTAGTTAAACAAAATTGCTCCTTAGATAGAGGCGCCCTCAGCAAACACACATTAGTGTTCACATTGGGGGTTTTTTTTTCACTGTGCAAATGTCTATGACATCATGTTATACATGTATATAACGTGTTTTTTTTATATATCCATCCACCATATGTTATAAATAAAACTGGACAAGAATTATATACATTATATTTCTAGATTCGAATCTTAGCAATGAAAAACTGTCTGAATTTGCGATTGATATTGTTGTGCCATAAGAGGCAAATATAAAATCAGTGAATATGTAGTGTCAAAGAAGATTCTTCAGTCGGAAAAATGACGAGAAATGTATTGGATACATTTAATATAGAGATTTACTTCTTCAAAGACGACACCCATCCAATTATGGATATTACTGCTATACATAGAAAAAGTTGTTATAGAGATAAAATACACCTAAAACTCTGTTCTAAAAGGAATATGAATGCTATGATGGATTGATGTCATAGAAATGTTTGGTTGTACAAATATTTATTAATCATGTTTGAAAATATTTGTCCAATTTAGTTTGTTTTTTCAATCACTGACGAACTTTGATAGAAGAAATAACTTAAATACGAACTATTTAAAAATTATGAGTATGTCAAAAGTCTTACAAAATACAATGCTAGATATGATATGATTATACTATTTACGAGTATCAAATACTTCGTAATCAATAAAAGTATAAAAATAAACACGTGACACTCGTTTTAATACAATGAAATGACATCTTGAAAAGTTTTTGAAAGGTAAATATATTAAAATTATTTTTGTATTTATATACAAAGTTAAACTTATTGTAAATTTAATTTAATTATTAATCAAATTCATCTCATTTGTATGTAAAAAGTCAAATATAACCGTTATGTAAGTTGAATAAAAAAATTGTTCGCCTAAACTAAACAATTCAAGATCTAAGTTGTAAAATAGCTCAAGTAAAATCTTACTCCCCTCCGTCCCAAATTAAATTTTTCATCTGTTTTTTCACAGAATTTAAAAAAACAAAATTATTTCGTTGAGATTCATTTAGAGAAGAGAGAATCAATGTAACCCCTTATTCCATTCCTTCAAAGGAATGAGAAGTTTGTTTGTGAGAAATTCATTTTGGGTCCTAAGGATTATTTGTTGTGAAGCATACAATTTGAAGGAGTACTAAATGTGGAGTATTATGGCACATAAACATCAAAACTGTGACTCCTATCACGTACTACGCATTTTAAAAGGATACATATACTGCAGTGATATGAGTAGTAAATTTTGTACAAAAGAAGCTTATGTGTGTGAATGGAAACTCGATATGGATCCTTTGATCTAATATGATCATGGATTTTAAAAAAACCAAAAACATCTCATTTGCGCACGAGAATTGGCGCTCTCTTCATATCCTTGGGGTGATGTCAATAAGTCTGTAACCAAACCAATACGACTCGGTAACCAAACCAAACACACTGGAAAATTTTGGTGATTCAAGCAAGGCAAACAAGCTCAAGTGGCAACCACATCTTAAAGATTGTCCATAGCTGTGAAACGGATTTCCTTAGATGTTGAAATTCGATGACCAATGAAAAGAGACGTGCAGAAAGCCACAACAGAAAACAGAAGAGAAAAGGCAGTTGCAGCATCCCATGGATTGCTCACTGCTGCCTCGGACTTGGAACCACTAATGCTTGCCATAATGTCCATTGGTATCCAATCGCAGCTAGTTGAGTAATGTGCAGATCCATGCCACGGTTTCCCATCAACAGGGTACCACAGAGCTGCAGAAATCTTACTTGCTTTACCAATTGTGAACTGAACATCCTGCACCACCCCCCAAACAGAACCAATTTGTTTCATATCATTGGATTTCTAGATTTGCCCTATCTAAAATGAAAGAGCTCTGTAAAAAGGCACCAAGAAATGAAAATTGCCCGATTTTCTTTCTTACTTTTTGCATGCAGAATTCGTTATATAAAAACATCAAAGAATTCCAAGATGAGTGCATAATAAATCGCCTGTGAAAATCAAGTTTACCTGTTGCAGACGGTCCATTGTTGATAAAGGCCTGGAGAATTCAAAGTAATATGTTCCTGGCTGAGTATTTGATGCATAGGGGCTGTCTTCCTTGACAAAACCTGTTTCAAGAGTATTCAATCACACAAAAATATACTACTCTGTAGTAGAGTATAATGCTACAAGAACTAGACGATAGATGTCCTGTTATTTTTTTTCTTAAATACGTAATGATTATATTAAAAAGATTAGCCTATGCACAATTTATGAAAGCTAGTAGTAATACATTCTCTTAATTATGAATCTCCCTGATATTTCTTCTAGTAGCCACTCTCTGAAACTCGGATTGTTAAGAACTGCTAATTTTGTGTAGCCTAGTGCTCTAGTAGTTATATGAAAGAAAGTTGAGAACAAGCAAGCAGCGGAAAGAGAAGAAAAAGTTGGTACCAGAGTGACTGGTCAGGCTACTATGCCACCATGCACCTTTCCAATCATTCTGCGCACTAGAATCATTTGCTGATTCAAAGCCAAAACATCAAGAAGCAGCACCAAAACAATCAAAATGTGAAGCAACTTAGCTTGATATAAATGCATATTCCACTCAAAAATGCAAGCATTGCAACTAAATGAAAGTCCGAAAAACAAATACATACATGCATAACTAGAAAATTTACTTTTACCGCAATTGTGTTTGGTTAATCACTTACTTTGGTCTCACATTGTCAGCTTTTTCTTTTCAAATACTCTTCAAACATGTAACATTAATTGTATTTTGTGATTAGTGTCCTTTGACCTATTACATTCTACATCCAAACATCAAAACACAAAAATATATCACAATTTACCAACCCCCACCCCTTTTTTTAAAATTAGCTGGACCACCCAGTCGCACGGCATATTTTTATAGTTCTTCCATAGATATAAAGATGGTGTTTGAGATTGATTTTGAAAATGATTCTCAGCTTTTGCTTTTAATAGAAGCTTTTTGGAATGCTTAGATTTTGTTTTCAAAATAATCACTTTTCAAAAAAATTAAGCACACTCAAACACCCTCAAAGCATTAAAGCTCTTAAATGGGAATGTTGAGTCATACCTGTAGGACCAACACCATCTAAGTATCTGCAGTGAGGATTCCATGCATAAAGATCAACCAAGTGACCAAACCTGTTTAGTAGTGGTAAACATAAGCTTAGTTTCTTAACTGACACAATAACATCACACTAGTCAACATTATTAAGAGGGAGATAGAAGTTACTGGCATTACCTGTCTCCTCCATTTCCTTCGCCATTGTCTACTGGATTGCCTCCATACAGCCGCCCAGGTATAGCATTCCCTATTGAGAAGTGCATTATGTCAACTTCATGGCCATGGCATGTCTTGCTGTTGCAACTATCCGGTTCTTGTTCACACCCACCCATCTTAGTATATAAATCTCACAGATTTTTAATCTCAGATTCATTAACACTAATAAAATACAGAAATTTCTAGAGCTACTCAGGAAGAGGAAACAGAACAAAGCCAGCAAAATGCGGCTACTCACTCTGTGATAAGTTGCATTTTCCCCAACTGCAAACATGAGAGCTACAGAAGGGCATTTCTTATTGTCTCTGTGGCAACAAACACAGCTTTCTTTAGGCTCCATCTTCAATTCATTAGTCACATCAAAAATAAAAATAAAAAAAGAAGAAACAAACCCTATTACAGTGATAATAATTTTGTTCTAATTTGCTGCTATCAAGAACCAATTCAACCAAAGCCAGTAAAGGTTTATATTCTAACAGGCTCAACCATGTCAAGGAACCAATGCAACCAAAATCAATAAAGCTCTGTTTGGTCCACAGAATTCAGGCCACGGTATTTGAATTGGAGACATTTATCCAATTTTGTTGTTTGGAAACACAAAAATATGTGGGTTTGGAATTAAATTTTAATTCCAAATTTTCCATATGAATTCCAAAAATGTGTAGGTTTGGTAGCACAAAACTATGTGGATGTGAGTTTGGAATCATAATACAGTTTCATATCAATTCTATATACAATTTTGTGTTACCGAAGAAAGGATTTGAATTATAATACAGTTCTATATCAGTTCCTTAATTATACCAAACAAAGAATTTGGAATTCAATAAGAATTCAAAATCTATCTAGTTTAATTTCATATAACTTCAATTCAATTCTAATTTTGTATACCAAACGGGGCTAAGATTTATATTCTAACAGCTGCTTACGATTCATACCCGTCAGAATAAGCGTAGTTCCCATCAACCTGCAACATGTAGAATATATCTTTCCCGTCGTGCAATGTCTGCAGATATGAATCGAGATCTAGAAAATACAATTGAAATGGAAGAAATTGGAGTCTGATTTGTAGAAATGCGGCAGTGGTGTTGTACCTTGATGGTCATCTTGCCGCCATTGTACGCCTTGTCAGCATCAGGATCCAACGCAGGCAAAAGAGGAAACTGAGTACCATCAACGTCCTTCCAGTCATCGACATGGCCGTCGACGGTGACGACTCCGGGTCTGAATTCCGCCCGGACTCGGATCTCGGCGTGGGATTCGCAACTCCACTCGCCGGACTCTTGGTGCGAGAACACTTGGCCTACGCGAGCTAAGATGAAGAGCGACAGAACCACGAGCGCTCGAAACATGGCTGATTACGATAGCTGCTCAGAACTAGAATCTTGTCCAGATTTAGTTGGAGGTAACCACTTTGACATACTCCGTAGTTGTAACCCAAATTCATTTTTTACTCCCTTCAAATTTTATAGAAACTAATTTTTCATAATGAGTTTTTATGTCAATTAACAAAAAAACCATAGGTATTCATTCACACATGTTTGCTTATTATTAAAATACCATTAGTCCTTTATGATCAACTTTACATTAAGTACGGTTCAAATGTACCAACTTGACAATGATTAAAGATATTGGCTTGCTATGCAAAAATAATCACTTGACCACCAAAGCTTTTTACCAAGAAAATTCTCATATTCGTAAATATGACGGTTTCTACCCCCCTAACCCCCCACCCGGCCCAGACCCAAACACACCCCCACCCCCGTAAATTGCACCCCACAAGTTGATTTTGAATTTGGAGTTTGATTCTAAAGTCAAAATCAACTTGTGGGGTGCAATAGTAGGATGTGGGGGGGGGGGTGTGTTCAGGTCGGGGCCGGGTCGGGGCCAGGTCGAGGGTTTACTGGGGGGTTAGGGGGGGTAAGAATCGTCAATTTTACGAACGGGGCACCGGAGCGTCCCTTGGTCATCCCATGACATTGAGGTCTAATGTCACTTGAACCTTCCCCTTGTAATTTATGCTATAATATGTATGATTCTTAGTTATTGTTTTTCAATTTAACTTATACGTAAATTTAGATGGCTTATTATTTTTTTATTATTCAACACTATTATTTCACAAAATATGTATAGTAGAATCTAAGGAGAAATAAAAATAATGGACATAACTACTACAAAAGATAACTAAATGATGATTTGTTGAACTCTTATCTCAAGTATCATTATACTAAATTGATACTTTGTATATCCTATTGTTACGTGTAGAAATGAATGACAAATAAATTTACCACGTAATAAAATAAAGAAGGCCGGCCAAAATTTAATTAGCGACAAGACATATACTTTGGTTAACTTGATGGATCTAGTGCGTGTGTGTATATATGTACATTTATATGAATAGTTATTGTACAATAATATATGGAGTATATTTGGAGGAAGCTAAGGAAGATATGCATTTACATTAATGATTTACCTCCCACCGGGATTGACAAATTGAGAAAATACGCCATTACCGTTGTCATCCTCAAACCCATCCTCGCTTCCTAGACTCAATATACTTCTATGCATCGCCAAGAGGCTGTTATAGTCCATTGTCTCCGCCCCTCTTTCTTCCTCCTCCGCCTCATTCTCAACGCCCCCTTCTGCCGCCATCGCTGTTGTAGCAGATGATGGTTTTGACGTGGGGTTGTCTTGTTGGTGTTGGAGGGCGAACTCCAAGTTCCACAACACATCTCCCATGGAAGGCCTGTCGGTGCCATGATCACCCAAGCACTTCACCGCAGTGTCTATAAACTTCTTCAGACTCTCTGGTTTGATCTCTCCTTTGATATGCGGATCCACAATGTCTTCCACGGTCCCCTTTCTGTAACAGCTCATCGCCCAATCTGCCAGGCTAACTTGCTCTTTTGGTAGGCTTGGGTTCAATGCTGGCCTCGAACATAGCACTTCGAACAGAACCACTCCGAACGAGTATACGTCTGATTTCTCTGTTAGTTGTTGTCTTCTAAAGTATTCTGGATCCAGGTACCCGAAGCTCCCCTTCACCACCGTGCTCACGTGCCCTTTGTTCATGTCTGGCCCCGTTTTTGACAGCCCGAAATCTGACACTTTTGCCACCCATTTCTCGTCCAACAAAATATTTGTAGTCTTCACATCCCTTTTAAAGTTGGTGACTCAAAAAAGTCAAACATAATATTGTCTCCCTCTCAAAAAAACTATTGGTTTGATTTGTTACAAAGTAAAAAAAGTAATAAAATTTCACATTTTTTGACGGATGAGAGAGTAATGTTGTGGCAGAGATAGAGAGAAAGAGGTGAGGTAGTACCTGTGAATGATGGTGTATTTTGCGCCGGTGTGGAGGTAGTGGAGTCCCCTGGCGGCGCCGATGCAGAGTTCGAGCCTTTGCTTCCAAGGGAGAGAGGTGATCTGTTTGTTGCCTTTGTTGTAAAGATGTTCTCTCAGAGTGCCGCGTCCCATGTAGTCGTAGACCAGTGCCATTTCGTTGTCTTCCTCGCAGAATCCTATGAGGGAGACAAGGTGCCGGTGCCGGAGCTTTGACAGCATCTCGATTTCAGTCTGGAACTCGTTCACCCCCTGCTCCGACGACGGGTTCGACCTCTTGATCGCCACCTTCGTCTCCCCGTCTATCACCCCTTTGTACACCTTCCCGAATCCTCCCACCCCGATCACGTTTGACTCGTCGAAGTTTTTCGTCGCCTGTTTGATCTCCGCCAGGGAGAAGTAACGGCAGTTGGCGGCGGCGTCGGTGGAGATGGTGGCGCAGCTCTGGCTCCCGGACCCTGATTTGCTCCTGGAAGAGGTGTGGGAGTTTCCGTAGATGGGGAGCCAGCTGGTTGAGTCACCCGGAACTCTCTTCTTTCTGGAGTACGCCACGAAGCAGAGGACGGCGGCGAGGCCCAGCGCGGCTGCGCCTCCGGTGGCTCCTCCTATGACGGCTGAAGTGCTGATCAGGGGTTTTTTCGGAGCGAAATGAGCTTCCCGGTCCCCTTCCAGCTGGTACTTCTTCATCATGTCCGACATGGCCGGGTTCGGCGCCGCCAGACTCTTGTCGGCGTTGGAGAGCTTGAATATCTCGATCCCGTTGACGAAGGCGTCGATGTAGTAGGACTGCGCGGTGGAGGAGGGGTGCAGGGCAACCCACATCTGGTCGTCGCCGCCGTCTTTCACATTGATGATGTAATCCCGAACCACCGGGATCCCCAGGCGCTCTGATCCCAGAGCCACCACGTCAATGTTCTGCTCCGCCGTCCGATTGTTGAGGTAGAGGTCGAAGACGATCTGGTTGACCTTAGTCACGTTCTCCATTGTTTCGCACCAATGGAACCTTACGAGGTAGGAGAAATTGACGTCCACCCGGAACACCCACGTCAGGTTATACTTCTCGTTCAAGTTGGCGTCGGGCCCCATGGATCTGTAAGATTTGTAGATGTCGATGGGCGCCACGTAATGCGGCGTGTCGCCGTACTCCGCCGTCTTGTTCCCCTCCACCGTCACCCCGGCGGTCCCGCCGAACACGAATGGGGAATCCTCGAACCAGCCGCGCATCAGCCCGCCGGAGTCGTTCACGGGGAGAACGTATTGGCCGCCGACGTTCAGCCTGTACATCATCTCCATCTGTTTGTCGTCGACGGTCAATGTTTGTTCTGGGAATCCGGCCATGTAAATGGAGCCCAGCCCAAATATGTCCGGGGACTGGATGACTTCGATGGCATTAACGAAGGCAAATGAGCCATCGCCGTCGGCGGGTTTGAACTTGAGCTCCACGGCGGGGACGGAGGTCAGGAAATATTCCTTGACAATGTAGGCCTGAGTGAGGGCCTCCGCCGTAAGAAAGGCGCTGAAATTCTTCAACAGAGTAACGCCGCCGGCGGACACGGAGAAGAAAGATTTTGTTACATCGAAACCCGGGTAGGAAGACGGGTAGAAATAGAGGCGGACCAAAATCCAGTCAGACTGCGCGGCCACGTCGGTGGGGAATTTGTAGGACGCTTCTGATTTGAAGATTCTTGCGGACATGTAGGGAACCAGAGAAGGGAGCGATGGGTCCTGAACGTCCGCTTTGACCGCCACTCCCCTGTCTCCGGCGGATCCCAGATACTTGTCGTCGGGATCCCATTTCCGGCCCTCGTCGTCGTTGCCGGCGGAGGAAGAGCCGCAAGCCAAAAGCAGCGGTTTTGCCCCGTTATTGGCGGCGAACAGAGTGCCAAACAGGGAGACAATGCAGGCGAAAACCAGCTGAGAATGCCACAAAGGAGGAACGGGTCTCTGCTGCATGGTCGCCGCAAGCTAGGATTGGAATCAATTAATGGCGTACAGGAATAGAATGGAAATGGCGGCGGCCTGTACGCCAGCCAACGCAGGAGAGAAAGAAGAAGAACTCTTTCTTTCTTCTCCTCCTCCAAGGTTGGATCTTTATGTTATTACCAATTTGTATTAGACTTGTTTGATTTGGTGTCAAGATCCATGGAGGGAGGTAATTTAGATATGACAGAGACGACGGGGAAAGAATTGATTGTTTCTAACGTTTTTCAAATGTAGACTTGAATGAATTGTGAATTGTTGGCCAATAGGTGCCTGAATCTGGGGGGCTTTCATGCCGTTACAAAATGTGTGGAAAAGAGCTAAATAGTGAGGGTCACCCATTCCTTCAAAACAACATTGAGGCACACGCGTTAAAAGAAAGAAAAATGACATAGGTACACCAAATGTGTACCCCACCCTCTCACCCCCTCCTCGTCCACCGACAACAACAACCCAGTTAAATCCTACAAGAGTAGGGTCTGGAGAAAGTGTGTGTACGCAGACCTTATCCCTACTCGAAAGTAGAAAGACTGTTTCAAAAGAGACCCCGGCTCATCGTCGAAAATTGCATTGCTTGACTAACTGCTACTTCATTAATTAAAGAAGCACGGACAGTTTAGAGATCTATTTTGATTTATTCCATCACACTCTAAAGCCAAAAAATAGTGAAATTTTGGCTTCATCAAATACTCCTTTATTTTAATTCCATTAAACAAATGAAAAATGCTAGGGGTACACCGGTGTACCCCATTTTTTATTTGACGTGACCTATTTTGGTAAAAAATTTGAACTTGGTCTCAATCTGAAGAAAACTTTGGTATAAATAAATCACGGTATAAATTTTGACATGAATAATCAAGATGTTATATTAGAGATTGTGTCAAATGAAGGGATTAAATAAGTAGGAAAAAAATGTAAGAGAATAGGGCCTAAAAGCACTGGTAATACCTTTGAAGCCCCGGGGCTTCAAAATTTCTCTCTCTGCCACGTCAGTTTTAGCTTACACCAAAAATTCAATGGAAATGGGTTTGAAGCCCCGGGGCTTCAAACCTTTATTTTTTACATTTTTAAATATACATCTTCTAAATTTAAATTAATTTATTATTTAATAATATTGAAACACGAATACAAAAAAATACATTCATTAAAATAAAAAAACGACAATATTAAAAAAGATATATTAATTAAAAAAACTAAGGTAAATTATATTTCGCCTTGATCTCTCTTTGTCTTTGCTCGTATATGTAGGCAAACTTTGGGCTGTTGCATCTTTCCAGTCAAAGGTACTAAAATTTATTTTTTTTAATGTAAGTAATTTAATTTTTTAACGTACGTAATATTTTTTTGATGTAATTAATAATAAAAACATTACATTCATTAAATAAAAAAATTACATTCATGAAAAAATAAATAAAATACTTGAATAATAATTTTTTAAAAAAATGATAGATAGAGAGAATTTTGTATTTGTTTTGAATTTTTTAAAAAAATTAAATTTAATTTATAGAGAAGAAAAGAAGAAAAAAGAGGGAGAAAAAGGAAGGAAGAAGGCGTGATAACGCCTTCAAACCGCGTCAAACCTTTAACGTAAGTATTTTAACGCCCTTTTAACGGGGAAGGGGGGCGGTGTTTCACGCCCCCCAGGCATCAAAACTCGCCTAACGCCCCTTGGCGTTAGCAGTATTTCCATTGTTCTAAGAGCAACTCAAATGCATAGTGTATATTGTAATTTTAATTTTCTTGCCTCCCTACCACATGTTTATGTAGGGGGCATGAATGGTAGCAAAAGTGGGGGGTTTTTAGCATTTTCCATATTGTAAAATATACGGAGTACCATTCATGTTATATCCTCTTCATTTTGTTGCCCTCGTGTGAAATCTGTAAATCAAAGGGTAAAATGCACTATGGTGCAAAAAGCCATCCTCACCTTCAATAGTGAACACTACCTTGGTCTCCCAATATTTGTAAGTTTTGATTTTTTTGTCAATTACTTTCAATCTTTGACTTATAATTAGATAAAATATATATTGTATATTAGTTATGTAAAATAATATTTTAAAATATATTATATAATAGATCAATAAAACTATTTTCGCAACAATATCTAATACTTTCTTCGTCCACCTAACATCTTTCCATTACGCGTTACGAGGCTTGACCGACTTTATTTTCAATTTGATTTGTTTGAATATTGGGGTAAATTTTAATATAAAATCTATGTGGTAATAAACTACATGAAAAGTTTAAAAAACTAGAGATGACAACACTATATTATTTTATGAAATGAGTAGTAAAAATTAACAACTAAAGTGAATTAAGTTTGACCATGTGAATAGTTTCTGGAAAGATCTATGGTGGACAGAGGGGTATCACTTTATTTAATTTAAGATTAAAATTTACTAATTTTGATTAGAAAAAGTCAAAAGTAAACAAATATAGTTATACACATAATAAATGTGGTTATAATTAAACTATGAATTAATAATAATTATTAAGAATAGATAATTTAAAATAATGAAATATTATAAAAGTGTATTTGTAGAAGATATGATTGGATGAAATATAAAAAAAATGAATGTGTAAAAGTGTTGATAGTGTAAAATACTTCGGAACTTTTACAGTACTACCATACTCACTCCTCACTCCGTCCCTAAATATATCTCGCATTTGTTTTTTTAGCAGTCTCGAGAACTTTTATTTATTTTTATGTTTTTATTAGTTATTTGAAAAAATAAAATACTCCTGACACCTTTTATTTCGAAGAACTTTTTATGTAGTTTTTTAATATGTAAATTTTATTTCTTATTTTTATACCAATATGTAAATAAAATGAATAATAAAAATGTAAGATATATTTAGGGACTAAACAGGAATACTGTATGGCTCGTAGATGCACTAATATGGGGCATATGGCTAGCCAATTGAAGTCTCTCAAAATTAATTAAAATAAAAATTAAAAAATGCCCTGCAATTTGTTTAATTGGCTCAAATAACTACTCTCTGACTGGTCACCAGACACCCACCAGCTGCTCTGCTGTTGACTATTGAGGGAGAAGGATGATACTCCGTATAATAATAACCTGTATAAGCAATTCTCAACCTGGGAAATAGGGAAAGGTTGAGAATTGCTTATCCAGGTTATTTGAAACATATAGTTCACAAAATTCACAAACTTGTCTTTTGTAAATTTTAAATTAAAATATCTTTTATTATTTGAGTGCATCTTGTTTCTAAGAAAGTGTTAAAAAGGCAAGTTTGTGAATTTTGTGAACTGTTTGTTTGTTTGTTTGTTTGTGACTCTCCATTCTCTCTCGATTCTTTACGGAGGAGTATCTCTTTGTATATCCATTACTCCGTTGTTTCCCATTGGAAGAGCCTGCGGCATCAAAATAGTAATGGCCTCTTCAACTCCCCCGCCGCACTGCGCTCTCACCACCTCTAAACCCTATCGAAACCATCACCTCCACCCCCAGAACAACCACCAACCCAATCGCCGCTACCCCAACCACCACCACCACCACCACCGCCAATGGACCGCCTCTCACAAAGTCTCTTTAACTCGTCCCCCCCACCCAAGAAACCCCGCCTCCCCTTTCCCTCCCTTCTCCTCCCAGGAACTCGGCTCAGATTTCTCCGGCCGCCGCTCTACCCGCTTCGTCTCCAAAATGCACTTCGGCCGACCCAAGGCTACAGGCTTTGCCAGCCGCCACTCCCCCTTTGCCGACGAAGCTCTGGAGGAGGCGCTCAGCTGTGCGGGCGATGACTCTGCCTTGGACAGTCTGTTACTGTCTTTCCAGCCCAAGCTCTGCCGCACCGAGGACTACACGTTCTTGCTCCGAGAGCTTGGTAACCGTGGCCATTGCTCCATGGCATTGAGATGCTTTGATTTCGCTCTTCGCCGGGAAAGAAAGCTCACCGAACAAGGTAAGCTAGCCAGCTCAATGATTAGTATTCTTGGGAGACTTGGGAAAGTTGATTTGGCCGAGAAGGTGTTTGAAAATGCCTTAAACGAGGGGTATGGCAACACCGTGTATGCCTATTCTGCTTTGATAAGTGCTTACGCCAAGAGTGGGTTCTGCGGTGATGCCATTAGGGCATTCGAATCTATGAAAGACTCCGGCTTGAAACCAAATCTAGTAACTTATAACGCTTTGATTGATGCCTGTGGCAAGGGAGGTGCTGATTTCAAAAGGGCTTTGGAGATTTTTGATGAATTGTTAAGAAATGGGGTTCAGCCTGATAGGATAACCTATAACTCACTGCTTGCTGTCTGCAGCGGCGCGGGGCTGTGGGAAACCGCCAGGAGTCTGTTTGATGAGATGATTTATAGAGGAATCGAACAGGACATTTACACGTACAACACACTCTTGGATGCTGCTTGCAACGTGGGGCAAGTCGATGTTGCTCTGGAGATCATGTCTGAGATGCCTGCAAAGAACATTTTCCCGAATGAGGTGACTTACAGCACCATGATTCGAGGGTGTGCTAAGGTGGGAAAATTTGACAGAGCAGTGAGCTTGTTTAAGGAAATGAAGAGCGTGGGCATAAAGGCAGACAGAGTGTCTTATAACAATTTACTTGCTATATATGCAAGCCTTGGCAGGTTCGACAACGCATTGGATGTGAGTAAGGAGATGGAGGGTATGGGTATAAGGAAGGATGTGGTCACTTACAATGCCCTCCTGGATGGGTTTGGGAAGCAAGGGATGTACGATAAGGTCAAGGCCTTCTTTGCCAAAATGAAGGAAGATAATCTTTCCCCAAACTTGCTTACATACTCCATACTCATTAGCGTGTACTTCAAAGAAGGTTTATATCAGGAAGCAGCGGAGCTTTATAAGGATTTCAAACAAAAGAACCTGAAAGCAGATGTAGTTTTCTATAGTAAACTTATCGATGCGCTGTGTAAGAAAGGTCTTATAGAGTCCGCATCGTTCTTGATCAATGAGATGATGAAGGAGGGGATACTACCGAACGTTGTTACCTATAACTCTATAATCAATGCATTTGGTTTGGGATCAAGCATCGAGGGTTCATCCAATGTTTCTGACACAGAGATATGTAGGGAAGATGAGACGAGGAGGATGTGGGAGGATGGAGAGGGAGATGGCATCGTTAAGGTCTTTGAGCAGTTAGCTACCGGGAAATGTCTCGAAATGAGGAACCAGAACACCTACAAACAGGACTTGCTTTGTGTGCTGGGAATTTTCCACAAGATGCACGAAATGGACATAAAACCTAATGTTGTCACCTTTTCTGCAATCTTGAATGCTTGCAGGTATTACTATTACTACCGGCTGTTACATTAGTACTGCTATATATTACTTTCCTTTCATTTCTCGACCCCGTTTGGAGGTGCAGCCGCTGTAGTTCATTTGAAGAGGCGTCATTGTTGTTGGAAGAACTCGGTATGTTTGACAACCACGTTTATGGAGTGGCACACGGGCTACTAATGGGGCAGGGTGAAGGTGTTTGGGTGAAAGCTGTGTCTCTTTTTGATGAGGTGAAGCAGATGGATTCCTCAACTGCTTCTGCCTTCTACAATGCTTTGACAGACATGCTGTGGCATTTTGGTCAGGTATCATATATTACCACTGAAAATGTGACTAACTTACTCCTCTTTGACAGCTAGTTCTCTACTCAGTCTTGTTTGTTACGCAGAGACGGGGTGCACAGCTGGTGGTTCTAGAAGGCAAGCGCCGGAACGTGTGGGGAAACACGTGGTCCAATTCATGCTTGGATCTGCATTTGATGTCGTCGGGTGCTGCACGTGCCATGGTGCACGCATGGCTGCTCAGCATACGAAGTGTTGTTTTTGAAGGCCGTGAGCTACCCAAGTGGTTGAGGTACACACACACTACACGCGCAGTCTCTTTTTGTACAATGCTATAGTCCATTGGATTTCCCAAGTCTAATTCATGCAAATAACGTGGTGAAATACAGCATATTGACGGGGTGGGGAAAACACAGCAAGGTAATGGGAGACGGGACACTGAAGCGTGCAGTAGAGGCGCTGCTGGAGAGCATTGGGGCTCCGTTTGAGATAGCCAAAAGTAATATGGGGAGGTTTGTTTCATCGGGGGCTGTGGTGGCGTCCTGGCTGAAGGAATCAGGCACACTCAACCTACTGCTTCTTCATGATCACAGTACTACTACTACTGCTACTACTACTAATACTCATCATCATCATCCAGATGGGAAAGCACTAGTGGCAGCATGATGATTGATGAGAAAGAAGAAGAAGAAGAAGAAGAAACACTAACTGATTTCCCTGTCGTGGGTTGTATCATTCATTATCAGTCAGGCTTTTTGTTCATATGTAACCATAGTCCGTATAGCATTACTATTATTACGGAGTAGTATATATTTTGCTCGCTGTGGGGGGGTTGGGTGGAAGCAGGTCTCTTGGCGAAATACTCACTCTGTATTTTATTGTTTTGAAAGCGGGGTGTAGTATTATTGTTATTATTAGACCGGTTGCAACGACTTTGGCAGCTCTTATCTGCCGTTTTGATGTTCTGTCTGATGCAATTACAATGACCACAAATATATATGTATGTAAATATGTGTGCTTTTATTGGTTTTTACAGCAGGAGAACACACACACACACACACACACATATATATTGTTTTAAAGTGGTGTGTTTAAAAGCTTCTGCTTGAAGTGGTTGGTTCAAGCACCTACACTGGCCCCAGTTATTCATTTTATTTCTACCCCATCAAACTTTGTACGCAGTCCGTTTATCTACATAATGATCAAACAAGCTTGGGTTTCTTCTCCCTCTTTCTTATTTGAACTGGTCGAAGTATATTAAGGGGTTATTACACTCCATACTTTGTCCCCACTACTTTTTGCACCCTAATCTTCACATATCTCTAAACGGGATTGATACAGGAATGACTACACATCTTTGACCGTTACTCCTGCCCACCCCTTTTGGGAATAGATGTTCGGTATTTTTTGGTTTCATCTCTTTAAAGGATAAGGCTTTACAGTTGTGGTCTTGTGGACATATGTCAATGGGAACAAAAACAAAACTTCCAAAAAAATTGAAACTTGTAAAGGAGGTATTCACCCTTGTAAATTAGTCGTCCTATTCAAAAATCAAGAGAGAAACATTGATAAAAATAGGAGCAAAGACTGAGGCAAAGAAAAGTTGATGTTGGAAGCATTTTCACATCTCAGACTAATAAGGCAAGAAAAAGGTTTACACTAACCCAAATCTCGACCTCAATATTTCTTGCCTCCAAATCTAGGGAGAAAAAAAGGGGTGGATGCAAAATTGGATAGAGCATCAATTTTTTTCTCTATAGCAACGAATGATTAATACAAAAGGGGGGATGCCGGTAGGGGGTAGCCTACCGGCCCCTAGTTACACCCATAGACACCACATTTCTTGCACCACCCAATGGCAACAAGAGGGATTCTTACACGAGGCAAAACGAGTATATATATATTGGAATTCAACAACAAAAATGATTCTTCGATTTCCCGTATAAAAAAATCTTTACTTCATAGAGCAGTTCATACTTCAAAGAGGCCCAATCATCCTCCAATGCAGCAGTAAAACAAAAATATAAAAAATGACAAAACAACCATGTTTGCCTTAGCACGTTTAGATACTCCTGTATTAACCAGGTCTGTTGGCAAATAGATTATCCCAGCCCATATATGCATCACTTTTTATGCCAACACTACTGAACCATCATTCATGATACAGATGGAAACTGAATCACTTCTTAGTTCCTCTTGAAGTCGATGATGCCAAAAGCTTTTGCCCTCCACCATTTCGCCAAACCCCACGCACTGGTAAGCCTTCAGGAGACTTGCTCTCTTCACCAGATGGCATCTGTTTTACATACAGATCTGGATCAGAAATTGAATTTTTGAGATTTGAGTGTGATTCCACAAACTCATCACCTAGGCGGGCCCTTAGGAACTTTGATGTTTTCTTTTTTTGCTTATTTTTGCTATGGCCATCCCCTAGAGTATGATCTGATCCACCACCACCTAACAAGCTGCTTTGGTCCTTTAGTTTTAAAGCTTCAGAATGTGGCATCAATTCTTTCTCGAATGATGTTGCTTTAGATTTTCCTTTAGAAGAAGCACGGTAGTCATCTTTTAACAGCACTTCTACACTATCCTCTGATGGCCTGTAGCTTGACTGCAGATTCTTAACAGTGTGCATGATGCTATCTGCTAACTTGATCTTTGGTGTATTATTATTGTCTCCAGCATCTATGGATTTACCCTTGCCTTTCTTAGAAACACTGCTGTCCTTTGTTTCACTGTCACTCTGTCCTGAACCCGAGTGCCTAAAGTTCGCATTATATGTATCAATCAGCTCATTCTGCTTCTGAATGTCAGGGCAAAGTCTAGCCAACTCATACACCAGATGAAGCAAGCCAAACTGATCCACATTAGCTAGATACGTTTCCGCATTGATTAAACCTCTGCGGTATTCACCTGATATGTCCTTAAATGCAGCATATTTATCTTCATCAAAACTCAGAGAAGAACGAATCCTTTCTACCAGAGATTTGTTTGCAGTGTGAATATCTCCTATTCCCGTTGTGGTGGGCTGAGAACTTGCAGGCAACTTGAGTGTCTGCGATGAAACTGGTGGGAAATTGGAAGAGTCAAAAGATTGACTTTCAACAAGGTTTGGAGCTGATGTGGTATGGGGGATTCTAGTGGTGCTAGCCCAATTCCTTGATGAACTTGAGGAACCTGCAGAAGTAGATTCATTAACTACGGCAGATCGAGTCTGACTTGGAAAGGAGGGTATATGCCGAACAGAAGTTGATGTAGACCCAAAAGAACTGCTTACTGCAGGCCAAGCATGTTGATGGCTGATCATTGATGAACCATTGCCATCTGCTGGCTTGCTTTGGCCAGAACAAGATGCCGATGATTCCGAAACACTTCTGACCACAGGCCAGGCGTGATGCATATTGATTGCAGATGGTGCAGTGTGACTTGCTGAACCAGGCACAGAAGCAGTTTTGTTGCTCTGCCTTCCAGTTGGTGCAGCGTGACTGGGTCTACTCGAAGCAGAACCCAAACCGAGGATATGCTCAGTTTTGTTGCTCTGCCTGCGGAGACGTGCAGCCATAGTATTCTTTTGTGAAGACTCGGCTTGAATCGGCTGTTGAGTACTAGGAGCAATCGGCAGAGGCGGAAAAGAAGATTCTTCAAGCGTATTACTTGATTGCTGGGAAACAGCTTTACGGTACCTTGATGATAACTCGGGGCCTGATGTGGCTATTAATTCAAATTGGGAAATGAGTGGATCAAAATCAGTTTCTTCAGCATGATCAGAGATCACCGTCCTCCTGCTGGAAGATGAAGCATCTTGAGATCTACCTTCTGAATTAGCCGTCTCCAAACTGGCTTCGATGGCCATGGATAGTTCAGTTTCAGAAGCATCCCGTCTGAACATACGTCCTCTTCCCCGGTGACCATCTTGTTCGTTACTGCGGCGATACCGAAAGCTCGTAGGTATCTGTGGAAATAGCAAAAAACTATGATGTCTATAACAAACAAATTAACATGTTCAAGGGCCCAAAGTGAAAGAAAATAAACATTGTAACAGAACACTTTATTTGAAATTGTATTCTCAATGGGAAAAAACTTGCCTGGAGAGCAGCATTTCGTTTGGAACGGGACATGCGGCCACCGTGTTCTAAGGCATTGTGCCTCTGAAAATGAACAAGAAAGTAAGGGCACTGGCTGAAGTTATACGTCTTCATAACTCATATCAATAAAGCTTCATGAACATATAATCGCTATTTTCAGTTCTGATGTGTTGATGATCTTGCTTAACATTATTTCAACTAGACAAATGTCTAGATGTCTACTGACCTTTAATTCAGCTTCGGACAGAAACACAACAAATTTCTTTACAAGGCATGACTCATCCTCACATAAAAAGTGATTACCACGGAAATGGATCTGGAATAAAAGACACCAGTTACAGAATAAATTGATGTTTAGAGTACTAGTGGAGAACATGATATCATAGCAAAAAAGAAATTACTTCCAGATCATCATAGTTTTTGTAGTACTCATATTGTCCAGGATGCTGCCTACAAAAGAATATTTATAGTATAAATGCCATGAACCATAAGCGCAATACTCCAACAAATTATACTTGTAATTACTTTTATTAAAGTACACCTTTGACATAAATGACATGTATAGTGTTCAGTGGACATGTGTAAATACAGCTCATTGTCTCCATAAAAAGGGGTTCTACAAAATTCACACATCGGATGCCCCGTGAAGCCACCTCTTTCACTCTCAGTTCCATCCACCTCAGAGTCTCCAGTGTTCACATGCTGATTGAGTTGCGCTCTATTATATAGTTTTTGCTCACAAATAAAGATCTGCAATTGAAAAGAATAATCAATGTTATGGATGAAACATGTTGGAAAGAATACATTACAAAAAGCACAAACATGTCAGATATGATGTGTTCATTTATGTTTCAACATGGTGGTAAAGATCACTAAAGCAATGTGATATTTCCTAATTAACAAAATTGATCAAACAAAATCACTTTGCTGGCATCATCACAGCACGAACACATAGTTGCTGCCAAATACATTGAAATTCAAAGTTATCATAAATATAGAAAGGGGATGTATATCTTTTTCAATGAAAAAGTGGTGTGATAATCCTAGAGTAGATATTTTCATTTTGTTAAAATCCAATTTCACAGATAAAAGAAACCCAGTAAAATCTCACGGAATGGATTTTGGGGATGGTGAGTTTATGCAGGCATTACCCCTATGTGGGTTGTACAGAGGCTATTTCCAAGAGACTCCCGATTAAAAACAAAAGGAACACAGTAAAACAAAATATAATAGGAAAGACAAGGAGATGAGCCAAAAAAAGCAAGCACACACGGAGATACAATGAACTAATGTGGCACGTCCTACACAGGGTAGAGCACTGCCCAAAAGCTTATCCTACCACCCTAATGCTAGACCACACACACTCCTATCTAGGGTCATAATCAACCAGATAGTGGCATTTTCATCTATGGGTTTCCAGGGTTTAAACAGTCTTGCTTCCTGGACACAATATTAAAGTAATGATTACCGAAACCCACAACCAATCCATTTGCATGTTTGTGTTACTTGTTTCATAAAGTATTATATTCCCAGTAATATGTTATATGTAGTAGGTAAACGTTGGGAGTTCAAAATGACATATTGAGTAAAGTGCCCATTAAGCTGTTGAATATAGAAATATAGAATTAGTTCCTGCTTGGAAATAAGTAACAGCATTGCAAACACAAAGACGTAAAATAGATAGAAAAAGAAAAAGTAATAGACAATTCATGACTTGCACCTTTCTTCCTTCCAAGCATAAGCTGCACATTAACAGTCTGTGCTGGTGGAACAAATGCCCCTTCAACTGCTCAATATTCCGGAATTTCCCCCTTCTCCTCGGGCCATCACTGGCTTGCTCGATATTATCGCACACACTGCATGACAGTCTACACATGGCTCTAATCATCTTGTAGTGATCCGAGTCATCAAAAAATGATTGTGTATCTTCATGATACCAATATGACCCCATTCGACCTTCTTTTGGATCATGTGGGAAACTTGAAAAGTCAATTATGTTTCGAGTGTAATCTCCAAGAGCCTGCAATATTGTATATCAAATTTCAACTAAGGATGCAATTGCATGAACAAAACAGAGTCATTGGTGTCCATGCTGTTGGAGCTTGGAATACATAAACTGCCCGGTGCAAACAATTAAAAAAGCATTTAAATTTAGTTCCCACAGCATTTAAAGAAAAATCAGCATAAACAAAATGCCAGTGACAGCATCCACAAAACCATGATTTGAAAGTCAAGATACAGAAATTGGATTCAACCTTGGTGACAAAAACAAGGCTATTTTCGGTCTTGCAGATACAGCATCGCCGATCGTCGCAGATAAAGCGGAGGCGGGCGACGCAGGTGGAACAAACATCTTTGTGACCGCAGGCACCGTAAGCAACCCATTCCAGATTCTCCGCACACACAGCACAGCTATCATCCATCGCTTCCGATCAGTTTCAGAATCGTTGATCTAGGGTTCCGACTTTATGGCCACCGACCGGACAGGAACTGGAGATACGAATGAGGCGACGAAAAATATTGCAACTCGTAACTCAATGGCCACAGCTTGATTCGACGATATATGTTTCGATGAAAGTTTACGGCGCAATTAATTTACACAATAAATCTACCCCGAATTAATTTACACTATTTATTTTTAAATAAAATGATACCCACTTTGTTTCTAAATAAATTTTTGATCAATATGTAAATTTTTGTGATTTTTAAATTAATTTTTTTAGTAACTAGTATAGAAATAAATAATAAAAATTATATTTAAGCTAAATAAAATATTCTACAAAATAAAAGATGATAAGAATATTTTATTTTAAAAAATTAAAATTCTCAAGAATATGTAATAGTAAAGACATAAGTCATTTTGGAACAGAGGGAGTAAAAAATAAAAAAAAGAATGATTAATTATTATTTATTTAATTACTTGCATCTTGTTTTGTAAAGTTTTAATCATTTTTCATTTTCATCACGTTTTGTAAAACTTTTGATACAGTCTTTTCGAAATATAATTTCTACTTTTTATTTGTATACTTATTATAGATTAAATTATTTTAGAAAAGATAGAATTTTACATGTTATTCGAAGAGTGTAAATAAATTTGATACAGAAGAAGTACTTTTATGTTATTAGAAAAAAAATAATTTTTTAAGTAGATACTAAACAGGGAAATGTCACATTTAATACGTGATGGAGGGTAATTCAACGCCACCAAAAGGACCAACAAATAATAGACCCCCACAAGAGGTCCCAGAGAGCCATGTGACGGATAGATGCCTTGCTAAGCTACGCTCAATATGTCAAGTTGAGCCTAGATGCTCGGCACAATTCGAGAGCCGAACATAAGACTCGCCACTTTGGGGCTAAACGCAAAAAAGATTCACTTAATAATTTAAGGAGACAACGATAAGAGAGTATATAGAGATAGAGCCGTAATCGACAAAGAGATCATGCAGCCCACATAGATTTTTGTCACAACATCATGGTCATGTCGGAGCATGGCCTGGGTTCACTCAGTGGGAGCGTGCCTTTGTCGGATAAGACTCTACATACCAACGATAATAGCTAGACGACAAAAGTGTTTGATAGGTATAAACCCATTAAGGCCAGTCTAACAACCTCCAACCGAGTTCGCGACATGCAACTTGGATGAATGTGTGGACAACCTCCAAGGTAGACGCTACTCTTTAGATCAGTTAGCTGGACGACCAACCGGACCGACCAGGGGTGCTAGCAATATGATCAAGTACAAATGACTGGTCGATGGACGAGGGATCGATCGTAACGCCACTTGGGTCTGACATCACAAGTGGGATGATGTGACAAGGATGAGACCATGCCAACCTACGTTACAGCACAGAGTTCAATCTAACACAAGAATGACTACAAAATAAGTGATGGTGAGATGACTACATTAGAATACAATAGTATTCCTTTTTGTCTCTTATAAGTACTTCTGTAAAGCCTCCAAGAAAGTGACGGTGTTTTAGATAGAGAAAAGAGAATACTAAGAAAAAGTTATGTTAAATATCAAAGTTAAATATAACAATCGGGTTACGGGTGTTTCCACCTATCACTCTTCCAATATCATACTCTCTTCGTCCCTTAAGCTCTTTCTCCTTTTTTTTTGTCCAAAAACTCCTTCCTTTATCTATTTAAAAACACTTTTACTCTTACTAATTCTTACACTACATATCATACCTTTTTATTAATAATTTATACATCACATATTACTTTTACCCATCACACAAAATGTATTTTTGGAAAGTCAACACAAAAATATCCAACCTTTAAATTCATAAAGAGTCAATAAGAGAACAATTTTAAAGGACAAATGGAGTACATTGTAAACATCTTCTTTAGTCTGATACTTAAATACGAGCCACAGTAGTAATCAAACCAAATATTTTACGGCATCAAGTATCAATTACGATCTATTAACATTGTAATCAATGATTAATAAGTAGCATACATATTTAATATATTTGCCCCTTGTAAATAGATCCAAGATTAAGGAAACAATACTCCTATATTGCACTCTCACGCTCTTTACTCTCGTCCATTGTTTACTGACACTCAAATTCGACCCCAGGACCAACCTACCCGATGAATACTGACCAGCAATGCGATGCAGATGAAATATTAAACACTCCTTGCACTAGAACAAAATCGGTTTTGTTTTTTAAATTTATTTTATTTAAAGATTGGCATAAAAATAACAAATAAAATCTACATATTTAAAAAGAATATCAAAAGATTTAAAAAGAACATGTCACAAAAAAATTTTATTTGGTCAAATAATCAAAAAAAAATTACAAATCTATAAAATTTCTACAATTTTTAAATACTAAAATAGGCAAATCATATTTAGGACTTGGGAGTGGTGGCAAAATTTGATAGCACAAGACAAGATAGAGAGAGGGGGTCACTCTGTAGCTTCTTCTTACGCAGTAAAGAAAAAAAGAGGAGTTTTTAAAGGGGACAATAAAGAAAAGCAGCAGTAGATACTAGATAGTAGTGTCTTCCAGTTAGCATTCCACCGCTGGAGGATCGATTGGAATGGCGTCAGTGAAATCCTACTGTGCACCTCTCAAGTCAATGCCCTCTCGTTTGGGCGACTTCCGCCACTCTTGCTCTCCCGCTCTTGTTGTTGGCCTCTCATCCCCTCCCACCATTTCTTTCCCTTTTGCGCGCACCAGTCTCCTTCTCAAAGGACGCCGCCCATTTCCGGCTTCGCATTTCCCCATTGTCAGAGCCCAATCCTCTCCAGGTAAACAAACAAACAAGCCCTTTGTCCCCCCCCCCCTTCTTTCCAATTTCAGGGTTAGTGTTCTGACCGATTCTTGCCTCTATTCCTCTTCATCAGAATACATCCCAGAGGCAAAATTTTACAAGGTGGAAGCTATTCTGAGGTGCTATACTCCGTTTTCTTATTCTTGCCATTTCTTCTGATCTTTTTTATAAACTTCAAAAATATTGAATTTGGTTATCACTGTATGTGCTTTCATTTCATTGGATGAGCTTTACCTTGCTAACCCCCCTCTATCCTATTGCTCATGTGAATTCGGAACAACTTATAGGCCATGGAGAGTCCAAAAGGTTTCCTCGGTAAGAACTTCTATCTATGATTTTAAAATATTTCCATCCCTGCACCAAACTATACTTAAACTGATTCCATCTCTAATATCTTGCCTCGTTCGGTTTACGATGTTACAATTTATTTGAGAATTAGAGCGGAATTTAGAAAAAAAATTACATACTAAAAAACTACATAAAAAAAACTCTCTGACATGACTATCTTAATTTATCAAATGAGTAACGAAAATAGGGAGAGAAAATGAATGAATTTTGACATGCAACTTAATTTGAGACGGAGGAGTATGCAACTTTATAGACATGTTAACTAGTCTTCTAAACTCATGGTTGGGATTTTAATGTTGGCAGAGTACAAATATTTGATGGGTAAAGGCATGCTTACTCTACCCATTTGAGCCATCCTAAAAGCGAAACCAGTGCATTGGTTAGCTCAATGACTAGTTGACACATGTTTACCAAATCACTTCCGAAGAGTCCCTTAATACATTGTAGCACTAGTACTTTAACTACCAGTGCTTTTTTACGCTTGATAGCTCTAGGCACTAGGAAAGTCCCGTTAGTACTTAGGAAAAAAGCCTTTTGTTGCAGGGATTCGTCTTGGACTCTAATATTATTCTAGACTTGGATCATGATGTTGTTTGACTGGACCTGTAAGGTTGACCCAGGATATGGATCATTGACACAATCATGATAATCATTCCAACCTTTTGTTGTTGTTCTGTTTTAGTATAGATATAAATTCTTTTAAAGTTTACCTTAACCACTACAATTAAAATGTATTTCACTTAATGACCTTTGTGAAATGCAAAGGCACTTTTGGAAATGGGAATCCGTGGTGTCACCATCTCTGACGTCCGGGGTTTCGGCTCTCAAGGCGGATCATCGGAAAGGCATGCCGGTGAGTTTAATATTTGTTTAATTTTTTTATAATATCTCCAGTTTTTACAGCCCTATGTGCTGAGTCATTACTCCGTATTATTATCATCATTATCATTATTACTATTATATTAAAAAGTATTCTGCAGCTTCACATCTTAGATAGTGTAGATACATATATTCTTGAGAACTTCAGTATTTATGTTAATGATCTGCGAACAATTCCACTTTTATTTGAACTCAAGCTTAACTCTGAGTTTGACCCCAAAATTTTAAAACTCTATTGTACCCTTGCTTTCAAAGACCCTAGATATTTGGTTGGAGTGAATGCAATAACATAATGAGCTGTTTATGTGATTGGGGTCCAAAAGGGGGAGTTAAGCTTTGGTGCATACTAGAGTTAATGATTTGTTGACAGGTTCTGAATTTTCTGAGGACAAGTTTTTGGCAAAAATCAAAATGGAGGTTGTCGTTAGCAAAGACCAGGTTTCGAAAAAGTCAAATATTTATTCTGTGACTTTATATACTCCGTATGCTGTTTGCGGCCTAATATAAATTTTCACGTTGTTTTCTCTTAGGTTGAAGCAGTCATAGAAAAGATAATTTCAGAATCTAGAACTGGCGAGATTGGAGATGGGAAAATTTTCTGTAAGATTTTCACCTTTTTTTAACTCTGAAAAGATATTATACTTCATCCATACGGAATTAGTTGGAGTGAAAGTGAAATGTCAGACAAGTTCTATAAACGGTTTATCATTCATTAATGACACCACTGCTGATATGTTATCCAAATTAAAGGATATATTGGACAATTCACCAGATTTTGTTTGCTAAAAATGAAGAGTGGATAACTAATTCCGGATGCCCAAAGACGAGAAAGTGGACTGTTAAATCCAGACAAATGGAGTACCTGTAGTATTTTCTACCTTCATTCTCTTGAATGAAAGCGATAAATGAGATATAAAGTACTTTAGCAAATACGGAGTAGAACTGAAAATTGGCTTGTCAAATCTCAGTGAGATGATGCAAGATAGTACAGTATATTGTTATGGTGTGCAACATAATACTTTTGGGGATGAAACATACAAGTCACTTCTCTACCGTAGTCAAGAGCAAGAAATTGAGTATCAAATGCTTATTTTTGTTGTTTTTGCAGTGATTCCTGTTGCAGATGTGATAAGAGTGCGCACGGGTAAGAAACAAATAGTGCATCCTCTCCTCTTTAATTCATTATTATAGTCGCATCGCTCAACGGGTCAAGAGGGTAGTACCACAGGGTAAACCTGGGTTTAACTCTTGGCGAAGAATGACCATGCGATGCAAGGGATTCTTGCACGTACCAGAGTCTTGAACTCTCTCGATCAGTTTGAGATCATAACTCAAGTTATCTCCGCCCCAGCCTACTCTCTGGGTCAGTACTGGGAGACCATTGGGGTTGGGGTTCAACCATTTTTCCTTTAATTATTACAATCATTTTTTTAATATATATATATATATATATGTATATATGTATATATATATATATATATATATACTCTGCAATATTGATTGATAAGTGTGGCTTGTACTGGTCTCCTATGAACTTTTCAAGAGTACTTCACAAAAAAAAAAAAGAAAAACAATGAACTGTGCATACTTGTGTGATTTAGGGGAGAGGGGAGAAAAGGCAGAGAGGATGATGGGCGGAAGAGCTGACATGATCGGGTTGTCGAGTGCATGAGGTGGTGGCAGCGGTGTGAAAAGTTACTATTAGCCAGCAAACAAGGAAACGCTCGTTATTATGTTCTCTAAGAAAACCTGAACTAGTTGCTGTTTGGAAGATGATGTGTCTTTTCTGAATAACATTTATGATATTATATTGTGAGCCTAATAACAACAACAACAATAATATACTCTCCACATACCCTTTTTTCTTCTTATTCTATTATTTCTTCTTCCTCTCCTTCCGATTTGGTCCACCCACTCATTGCTTATATTCGTGCTATTAAATATATGTACGATGGTGCTACAACAAGTGTGAGAAGTCAAATTGAGGGTTACAAGGGAGTTTCTCATCGGTGTAGAATCAGTAGTCGCTAAGCTTAGTATCTTTTTATACTAGTATCATAAGCTCTTACCGAACATATCTAAGAACTCGGTGTATGCCTTGTGCTGAAGGCATCATCCTTATGTGAGAATCACTAGAGGATTTGAATGAGAAGTTGGATTTCTGGAGATAGGCTTTGGAGTTGCATGATTTGTGGATAAGCCACATTAAAAAAGAGTATATGGAGTGCAAGTTTAGCAACAGAAAGAGAAAATAGTTACATCGAGGTGAAAGTCAAAGAAAAAAAATACTATACCTCACGTAAAAAAATACTCTCTCCGTCCCAAAAAGAATGGGACGGTTTGACTTTTTGGGAAATTAAGGAAGAGAAAAAATAAGGGGTAAAAGTGGTTTTTTAATAGAATTGTAACGGACTTTACGAGACGCAGTTTTTTCTAAACGTAACAAACTTTTTGGGACGGAGGGAGTATATCTTAGGCGTATCATTCAAAACAATGAAGATGGGAATGATGTTAACCACATGATTCAAGTCGGTTGGCCAACATGGTATGTGATAAACAAAAGTATCTTTAAAAATAAAAGAAAACCTTTGTCATACTGCGATTGGACTAACTATGTTATATGAAACAAAGTGTTGGAAAGTAAAGGTAGAACATGAACACAAAGTTAGTGTTATTGAAATAAATATGGTTGATGGATGAGTTGTCATATGTATATGAGAAGAATAAGGAATGAAAATATAATTTTTAAATATGTCATTTTTATTTTTTAATTCTACACCATTTTTTGTATAAAATGATTTGAAAATAACTTCAGTTAAACACCGTAAACCGAAATAGACGTTTTAGATTGGAACAGAGAGAGTAACTTATTACATATATAAAAAGGTGTGTGAACATATTTTCTTTCCATAATTTGTTCGGTATTATACATGTTGAAATTTTTGGCAATGTAAGTCTTTTTTTAGAGTTAACATGTAAAAAATCATATTTTAAATCCATCATAAAAATATATGATTACTTCATTCAACCATGAATCCGGAAGAGACTATGGGGTACATCTGATTCCAACACATAGAAGTATACACACTTGACACAAGGTACTAATATGATTGTAAAATGAATGACTTTTAATTCTAAGGTACTAAATGCTTGAATCATACGGAGTACTGTATTATTTTCTCTTTACTCTCTCTCGTTTATTTGTGGGACCAATAAGCAAGGCCATATCGGTGTGCAAAAATGTACTACCTCCCATGTTTCGGTTTATGATGTTTGACTGAAATTATTTTCAAACCATTTTATATGAAAAATGGTATAGAATTAAAAAATAAAAATTACATATTAAAAAACTACATCAAAAGATCTACAAAACTAGTAGTGACAATAATATTTTATTTTATCAAATTGCTAGCGAAAACAGAGAAAGAAAGTGAATGAATAGTAAACAGGCATTATAATTTGGGACGGAGGGAGTAACAGACAAAAAGAATTGTAGCATAAGTTTAGAGATAATGTAACGCATCATATCACAGAACAGACAAGAAAAGATAAGTTTAAAGATAATCAACCTACAAAATTCAAGGGAACAAGACTGCTGACATAACCACACGAATCAAGTCTAAGGTAATACTTGCCGTTGCTTCCCTCTTCAAATGACGAATGAATTCCTCCAGTTTTAACATTATAAACTAACTTAGTTGGTGAACGTAGTAGTATATTAAACACCAGAAGCTCTCTGCTCCGCAACCACCCAATAGGGCGAATATATTGTACCTCAGGACCATACAAATCTAGAAGAGTCTGGCTTTGACCTTGTAAATTTATGTCACATAATCTTTCCCATTCCCCAGTTTCCTCCGAATCTGTCAACAACCAAACCTGCCACAAGTATTCTTCACTCATCATCACAAGGGTAAGGGAACTCCCCATTGCAAAAAAGATTGAAGCACGGTATGTAGCCAAAAGCCGTTTGTGGAAGAAGTTGCTGAATAGAAATCTGCTTAAAAATCTCGGTTTCTACATTTAGACTAAGGATAAACGGGAGGGTATTTGAAAGCCAATAAATGAAACCCCCAAGGGTTAAAGGTTCATAAAAATAGGGCGACGAAGAAGAAGTGAACCCCCTCTCACTAATATTTATGGAAACGGGTCTCCAAGAATTATTATCAACACCAACAGTGTGTATCGCACATGCTACACTATTGGGTGGATAATATACCACTTTGTACACTCCAGAAGAGGCTGCGTATCCTAAGCTACAGTTTCTTTTTTGCAGATAGTAACTCTTCATATCCAGAAAATGATCAAATGGAGGGAGAGCTAAGTGCTGCTTTGTAACAGGATTTACAAGCCAAGAGTGCCGACGCCCAGAATAATCGAGTAACCAAACTAGTCCGTTACAAGTAGACACAGCAAAACCACGAAACGGAAATGCTAGCTGCCTTAACTCAACATCTGAGGACATCTCTCCCAGATGCACATGGACCAAAGGCCTGGAATAATTGAATCTTTGGAAGAGGAAGCCTGCAGCTCTTGACTTTTGGTGTTGCAGGTGGGCATAAATAAAAGCCGGACTTTGGATTATGTCGTACCAATTGCGGCAAACATATCTCATTACATTATAAAGAACATCCGCTGAAAGGCAGAGAAGGATGTTAAACATGATTTCTTCTGGAATAATGGGAATTGTGCCCCTCTTTGCNACTAAAAGCTGCAATCTTGATTTTCCTACTTTCTCTGGTGGCAGTTGTCGCCTGCAGAGCGAGTTACAAAAGGGGCAGAGATGAGTACACCTTAAACTGATTGAGAGAGTAAAATTAAAAAGCAGATGCATTCCAGCAACCACAGAGTTAATTAATCCACAAATGATTCAGAATTTCAGACTGGATTATTTAAACAATCACTGGCATGTTCCAACACTCTTCTTAATTTCCTCTTCTTTGCATAGACAGAACAGAGAAAAAACAACACAAAACAATTATACAAGCAAAGACTAGCATTTACTCAATATATATGTTCACTCGACAGCAAATACTAATACTATTGACAAGATTTCCAAAAACAAAAAACAAAATACCAATAAAAACTTCGAAATCGAAAAAAAATATCCTTCAGCTGAGGCAGTATCAATCAATCAATACAGAGCATTTATTTCAAATTCAAATGCAATGAGACCTCAATTTCCTTCGCCTTGCGCTTCTTGCCGACCATATCTGAAACGCTGAGCGGGAGGGAATGTGTGTGAGGAAGATAGAATTTCAAAACAACCCAAAAAATTGAAGCTTTCCTGGGGATGGCAACAGATCTTGGCGTTTTGGTGGGGGTGGAGGTTCACCCAGATTCATCCCATCTACTCCGTATATATCATCACTGCATTCATGAACTTACGGGCTAATAACATCCGAATCCTTGATATTCATTTCAAAGAACTGGTTGACACATTTTCGGGCCACCTAGGGTAAAATTGGATAAAATGATTTGGATATTCTTCCTTATCTCAAGACGAATAGAACGGAGTTGGTCCCGCCGAAATCTGATCAGGTTGATTTTCCGGTGATTTTAACGTGGTGCAGCGGCGGTGGGGAGTGGAAGAAAAAAAAGAAATGGGGTCAAATTAAAAATTTTAAAATATATAAAATTCTAATTTGGCCCAAATGACTGGAAGTTAACCTATAAACGGGCAAATAAACTTTTAGTGAAATGATTATGTAAGTTCAAGGTTTTTTGTGTAAGGACTTGAAGTTTAGATACCACTTCAAAATCTCAGCTAAAATTCAAGTACCATCAAATGAAAATGAGTTATCAAATTAGTCTTTAAATTCCCAACGCATTCGTTGTTGTGTTAATTAATATGTTAACTAAAAATTATAGAAACAAATTATATATAAAATTTAATTTAATTTACATTTTCTAGTTATATAGAGTGATTCGACCAAACCATTTTACATAGACCAAATTAATTCGTAGTATTAACTCTTTAGAAGTAAATATCAATAATGAGTGCTTCTTTGGTGCAACTTGAGTGAATATCATTTTTGAAGATCTTCTTACATAATTTTTTTATTTTTTATTTAAAAAAATAAATACTGATTTGAATAGTAAAAAAAATGCTTTTTTGACTCATTTGTAGATCAATAGTGAACATTAAGTCCATCATAGAATTTGTCATTAATAATATTCTTTCACTTCATCACTCTTCTTCTTGTTCGAAATAAAAAGAGAGTTCTAGAAGTTTAAAATAAGAGTGTTTTTAGAAGTTTGTTACTCAGTATTTTTTTCTTATTTCTGAACTTTTAGAACTCTTGTGGGATGAGGATACAGAGTGATGTAGGTTGCGTACCTTTTGCCTAATCTGATCCGATTGGAGTTATAATTAAAGTTATTTCTTATCTGATTTGATCTGATCTGATCTGATTGTAATAGGAATAAGTAATAAGCAGAAAAAATAAGTTGAACGGAACGCTGCCGTAATTGATGCTCAATTTCTGATTTTGCTACCAAAAAAGTAAATTTGGGATTCAGAGAAGTAAAGTTTTAGGACCGAGCTAGGGGTACAGCACTTGATGTGCCTCGTTTGTACCCCATGTACACCCACCCCATCCACTTTCATCTCTCTCTCTCTCTCTATTTTCTTCGCTGCCCAAAAAGTCTTTTTTTCCATTCTGGAAGCGGAACTGAATGGAGTCTCTGTCGGCCATCACTGCCGCTTTTTTCTTCCTCACCAAAAGCATCGCCGCTGCTCTTTCTCGGTCGCCGCCACATATGTCTTCTTCTTTAAAAGTGGATGAAGACATCCGGGAAGATTTGGAGCATGGCGACGAATGTTAGTTCTATATTGTGTTGGTATTGTTTATTTAACAAACGAATAGATTTACCTATAATGATTTTAGATGTTTTATTTAAACTTAGAGTCCTAGCGTGTGCAGAAAGAGAAAGAGGAATGAGTTTGAAGAGAAATATCTAATCCTACTTGGTTTACTATTCTTAAGGATGAAGCCATGGTTTAGACTCCTAAGTACACCCTAACAAGGTTATTCTATTCCATATATTATCTTCGCCTTTTCTTACGATTGTGGTGTGAAAAAGTACCGATCTAAAAATAGAATATGAGTAGATCCGATCAAAAAAAGGAAAGAAGGTGAAGATTTTGAAAGTGCAGATTTTCTAAACAGCCTGCACGAGTTTGATCATTGCCAAAGATCCGATTGTTGCATTTAGCTGCAATTTTCATAGAGTGTTCCCAACACATAGGGCTTCAATATGTTCAATTTGCACGTCAATCAAATTTACGGATCTTTTGTTATTGAAGTTACGATCTACATATAGGAAGAGGGTTTGCCGCTGGTTTATTATTGAAAACGCAGCTCTGGTTTTGTCGATGATCGGAGTACCAAATCTTGTCCGATCGTGTTCAAATTTTGGGAGGGGTATAAGGACTTATGGAGCTTCAATCTGAACAGTTGAGATCATATTCCAACGGTTCAATCTCCATTTATGAGCTTCGAATCAACCTGCATATTTTTGTAGAGCAAGGCAGAATCTTTGTTTGAAGGTGTACTAGAATCTACGTCCTTGAAGAAGATCTTGGAGAAGGTGTAACAAGCCGTGGAGATAGACCAATGTAGAGTTTGTTGTCAAGTCATTCGTAAGTAGACAGATCAATACATTAGAAGATTCTATTGTGATTGATTGAGTTATTCATACAATGATTTAGTGGAAGAGCTGTTATGTTGGAACACGGGTTTACACCTACGTCGTACTAAAACTTTGTTTGTTTTAAGTAAAAATGGGTCGTTTAAGTGGTGCTTGGAAATTAGGCATGTTTTGCCAAACTTTGTTATCAGTTTTTGTGTGTGGTCTCCACTTTTTTTATTGCATTTATATATTGTTTTTTCTTTTCAATGATAATATAACGATGGATATACTCAAGTAGCCACTTTTAGCATGATTAGAGTGACTCACGATAGGGGGTACCTTCTCAGATTGACTCACGGTATCCCTTACAGTACCCCTCACGGTACCTAGGTACCTAGTGACCATTTTAACAAGTTTTTCATTTTTGTCCAAATCGTTTCCAATTTTGTTTAAAACCTTTTGGATGTTTGAAAATGATTATAAAAGGGTTTTAAACATATTTTGTGAGTGTTTTTGAGCTTGTGAATATATGTATACAAAATCATATCTTTACATCAGTTTCTACCTATATTCTATGCTAGTTTAGTGTTTCGACTTCATTCTTGAGAGCCAAATATTAATGGATTCTTGTTGTACCTGAAAAACTTAAACAAACATTAAACTCTTATATTGTTTGTTACATCAAAATATGAGGCTTAACAGATCAAGGCTAACATGTGTCTTGACATAAGTGTGGGAGGAGTAATCAGAACTTTGGTAGTTGAGCTGTGTGGGATATGTTGTTAACTTGTGTCATGTGGTGATACTCGTATATGTTGATGAATGTTTGCTTAGACTTGTGCAAGAGAATTTCTTCAATGTTTCTTTGGATTTCTCTCCTACCCCCATTAAACCCCACCACCTCACTTTACCCATCTCTTACCCTTTCATCTCCTCATCTATCCCTTATCTTTCATCTTACTTTATAAAAGACCTCTTGATTGTGTTTAGAGGTTAGATTCTGAGCGAATAAACCATGAGTGAAAATATGAGTGAATGAACGTCATCTTGTGAGCTAATGTGATTCTCTTGAGTTTTCATTCCATAAAAAACCATTTGTGAAGCTTTCTTAAGTAGTCTTTGTTTATATTCTTGGCATATGCTAGATTTTTCCATTTGGCACAGGTTGAAATGAGTGCACTCTAAATTCAGTGGTGACCTTTGTTCTTGATTGCTTGAGGACAAACAAATACCTAAGTGTGGGGGAGTTGATAAGTCTATTATTTGTGCATGTATTGTTATATTTTGTTAGACTTATTGAATTTAATTTTATATATTAAATTACATAACCTTGGGTGATATTATAATTTTGGACTGATTTATGTTTATATTTTGATTTTAGAGTCCAATTATAAGGGAAAGACCAATTAGCAAACTTATTAGAAAAATGGGGTCTATTTTATAATTTCTAAAAGTTTATTTGGTTTGATGGAGGCTGGATTGGACAGGGGGAGACAGACAGATCTACGAACGATTGGAGCGGAAGAAGGGTCCAGACGCGGAAGACTAGACACAGAGAATTTTCGATCGGGATGGAAGAGGGTTGAACGGACGAAGAACGACGCTGGTCTCGGATTCGATCGACGAAGACGGTAGGCGGCCAGCGACGAAGCACAGAACCCGCGATTCTCACGTTCCATAGCTCTTTTTCTGGCGAACCCCAATCTCCGCCGGCGACTCCGATTTCGGTCCCTATTTCTTCATCCTTCTTTGTTTAACATACTAATAATAGATTTTCTCTACTCTTATTGTTGACCTTTATTGTTCATTGCCAGATTACTTCTCTTTAATATATGTGTTTTTGTCTTTTGGTTGTATTTCTTGACATCATGAGTGGATAGATATCTAGATTTGGGTGTTGGATTGTTTAGGTGTTTGATAATTATTATGCTTTGATTCTTCATTTGGAGGATAATTTGTGGATCAATCATAAGTAGTTTGTGATAGAAGATTATTTTGCCTTCTTGTTTGTGTGCCCCAAACAAGATAGTGGTTTTGAAAACGAGTTTTCAATCACCAAGGAAATAGGTTTTAGCCTTCTAGTCTTGGTTCTTCACTCTTAAATTCCTTCCATGGAAGTGGTTATGCATTTGATGTTGGGTGAATTGAGTGCGGAGGCTCGACCAGGAAGGGCAGCCGGCCCTAGTCTTGGTTCGACCCATATGGCAGTAAATTAGGTTTTTAATTTAGCCGGCCCTAATTCTCTATGTGGGCTTGGGCCTAACTTGGGCTAATTCAAAAGTTGGGATCAAATCAGAAGTATTTATCCCTAGAGACATGAACATTAAGACACTCGTGGACCTATTATTTTTCCCTAGTTGCAAAGTGGATTAGGTCAGCCGACCGAACCACTATAAATCTTGTGTTCCGTTTTCTCCGTTTTGATTTCTGTTTTGTGTGTGTTCTTGTTTGGTTGTGGTTTGCTATTCGGTATTCATAGATACCCCAACAACTGGTATCGGAGCCTTAGGCTCGTGATCGTTGAAGTCTTCCCTCGGGTTTGTGGAGATCAGGTTCAAATCAAAGATTAGGGTTTTGAAGGGTTTGAAGATCAGTTCTGCCACCGTCATAGTTTCCGCTGCAGAATACAGTCTGTACTGTCTTGTGAACAGTAACTGCGCCGCCGTTGTGAACAGTCGCTGCTTCTAGGGTTTTGTTTAGCCGCCGCTGCCAAGGTTAGTTCGTTATTGGTTTTTTCAATCTCAGATCACTTTTTCAGCCGTGTATGGAAACAATGGCAGATGAAAAGATAAAGATTGAAAAGTTTGATGGAAGTGATTTTGGGTTTTGGAAGATGCAAATCGAGGATGTTCTTTATCAGAAAGACTTATACCAAACGTTATCGGGAGAAAAGCCAGAAAAAATGAGTGATGCAGATTGGGCGATTTTGGACAGGAAAGCTTTGGGAGTGGTTAGGTTGTTATTGGCGAAGAGTGTTGCTTTCAACATAGTCAATTAAACGACTACGCATGGGTTAATGAAAGCTTTGTCGAATATGTACGAGAAATCCTCAGCATTGAACAAGGTGTTTTTGATCAGACGGTTGGTTAACACCAGAATGAGGGAGGGTGCTTCAGTTACCATTCACATCAACCAGTTTAATTCGGTCATAACTCGGTTAGGATCAGTTGCAATTAAGTTTGATGATGAACTTCAGGCGTTGCTGCTTTTATCTTCTTTGCCTGACAGTTGGTCTGGAACAGTGACTGCAGTTAGTAGTGCATCTGGTACTACTAAGTTTACTTTTGAAGGAATTCGGGACTTGATTCTAGGTGAAGACATCAGACGCAGAAGTTCAGGGGATTCTTCGAGTGCACTGTTGAGTACTGAAGGTGTTGAGTACTGAAGGCAGAGGAAGAAGGAATGAAAGAGGAAGCAACCGTGGTAGAGGCAAGAGTCAGTCCAAGCATCGGGAAGGAATTGTCTGTTGGGATTGCAAACAGACGAGACATTTTAGAAGTCAGTGTCCGAATGGTAAAAAGGAAGTGAATACTACAGAAAGCTGCTCAAACAATAGTGATGATGTGCTAATCTTAGCAAAACAGCATGAAGATGATGAAGAATCTGAAGATTGGGGACTTTGGTAAGGTACGACTTGGTAACGATGAAATTCTGGATGTAACGGGCATGGGGGATATTGACTTGAAAACTTCAATTGGAGCCACTTGGACTTTGAAAAACGTCAGAGTCATTCCAAGCTTGAAGAGGATGCTTATCTCAGTTGGGCAGTTGGATGATTCGGGTCTTGATGTTAAATTTGGTGGTGGACAGTGGAAGGTGGTCAAAGGAAATCTTGTTGTTGCTTGTGGAAAGAAAAGGGGCTCGTTATATATGGTCGAGATACCTCCAGAAGGAGCAAGTCCAGTTTTTGTAAAAGAAAAGGTCCGGTTCAAAGAATCTCGTGTGCTAAAGAGGGTTACCTTTGCAAAGGAGAAACTCAGAGAAAGAGTGCAAATTCAAGATGAATTAGCTTGGAAGGTTCAACAAGTCAGGGAATTTTGTGACAGTGGGAGCACATGTCGTGCTTCAGTCCCAATCCGACAGTGGGTTAGGAAAACTAGTATTCCGGCGTTGAATGTTTCTCCTGTTAATAATTTGCTTGGTTTGGAGAATGTAGGTTCTCAGTTTGTCTTAGAAGCAAGGAGAGTGATAGATGTGTCACACTCGGAGCTAGCAGAGAAAGAGAACGAGTTACGGGTTGTGACTGATGAGTTGAAGCTCAGTGGGAGCTTCAACGGGCCTTTAAATAATTGAAGAGAAGGCCAAGGGGAAAATGAGGATTACAAGAGTTACGGATGATGAAGACTAAGGGGCGTTGTTTGAGCCTCCAAGTGGGAGATTGTTGGGCGAATTGAGTGTGGAGGCTCGACCAGGAAGGGCAGCCGGCCCTAGTCTTGGTTCGACCCATATGGCAGTAAATTAGGTTTTTAATTTAGCCGGTCCTAATTCTCTATGTGGGCTTGGGCCTAACTTGGGGATTAAGTTTTCAACCCTAGTTTAGTCTTCATAAATAGGGATCTCTGTACTTGCAATTCTGTGAGCACCTGGATAAGTGGATTAGGTCAGCCGATCGAACCACTATAAATCTTGTGTTCCGTTTTCTCCGTTTTGATTTCTGTTTTGTGTGTGTTCTTGTTTGGTTGTGGTTTGCTATTCAGTATTCATAGATACCCCAACATTTGAGTAGTCTTGCTTTACTTTGGCATTGTCTCGGTTGAACTACCAAGGAATTGAAGATCAATTTAACGATTCAACTCTTTAACCATGGAAATGGAAAAGAAATCTTTGTTAGACTCACTACTTGATTTGATTCCCCAAATAATTCCCCTTTCATTTTAGGCATATCATCAACACTTATCCTCCAACACCCAATCACTTTTTCTATTATTTATTTCCAATCTTAGTTACTCCCTCCGTCCGGAAATAATCTTCCCGTTTCTCTTTTTTCTCCGTCCGGAAATAATCTTCCCATTTCAAATTTTGATACACTAACTACCCAAAATACCCCCACTTATCATTTTCACTCTATCTCTCTCCTCTACCCTTTCTCTCCCCTCCCTCATTTACTCGCCACTCACACCTTATCTTTTTCTCCTTCTCTCCTCCCTCATCTCCATTTCTTCATTCGTTCATCCTCATCAGCCCCACTTTCTCTCCTTCCTCTTCTCTTTTTCTTCTCTTTCTCTCCTTCCTCTTCTCTTTTTCTTCTTCTTTTCCCCTTATTCTTCTTCTCACCCCTGTTCTTTCTCCAGATGAGTTCGTCCTTCTTCTTCTTCTTCTTCTTCTTCTCTTTTTCCAATTCTTCTCTTCCCTCTCTCGTAGATCTACGGTTCTTCTCCTTCTCTTTTTCCAATTCTTCTCTTTCCTTTCTCGCAGATCATCTACGGTAGATCTGTTCCCTTTTCTCTGTCTCCAAGAGGTAGAGATGGTGGCGGCTATAGACGATGGTGCGAAGGTGGTGAGGGTTGAGGGGCGATGGTGTTGAGGGTTAAGGCGAGAGTGGTGGGGGCTGGGTCAATCGCCGGCGATGATTAGGGGTGGGTCAATCGCCGGGGATGATTGGGGGTGGGTCAATCGCCGGCGATGATTGAAGGTGGGTCAATCGCCGGCGATGATTGGGGGTGGGTCAATCGCCGGCAATGATTGGGGGGCGGTGAGTGCTAGCCTTGGCAGTGTTGGGGCTGTAAGTGTAAAACAAGTAAGAAATGAAGGGTATATTAGACATATCCCTTCCAAAGTCAACCATTCAAAAAAAATGAGAAAAAGTCCAAATGGAAGATTTTTCCCAAACAGAGGGAGTATTACTTTTGTTCTTTTGATCTTGTATCTTCATCCACTTTCTAGACTTAAATTCACTATTATTAGTAGTTCAATTAGTGCTTAATTGACTAAGTACTTGATTCCTTATAGCTATCCTCTGCGGGAATGACAAAAATATTTACCACTTTTATCACATAAAAATACATAAAAAATGCTTCAAATCAATTCCTGGGTCATGGATTCTAGTGCCACATTCCAAGTTTGAGTTTGGGTTCACTGGCCATTGTACCTGAAACTGAATTGCTCTCAATGAGAACTTGAGAATGAGAATACAGTAGTACAAAAATAGGCAAATACACTACCTTAATTGTATCGGTTATTGAAATAACTGATTCAAAAACTCAAAAACATTGGTTATTGCTAAGAACCGATGTCATTGATATCAGTTTTAAGTTTTGAAAAATATATAAAAATGCATTAGCATCGGTTATTTGGAATAACCAATGCAATTGATCAATAACATCGGTTAATCTAAATAACTGATGCTAACGCTTCTTTTTGTTTTTTCATTTTTTAAAATGAAAGACATGGGTTTTAGTGTATAACCGATTCTATAGCGTTTATGCATCTATTTTATTCCTCAACCGATGCAAATGCTCTTTACAAAATGTATGTTTTCCAATTCCAAACTTATTTCGGAAATTATATTTTACAACCGATGATACCCAAAATTGGGTACAACAATTGGTAAAACGAAAGAGGAAGAAATCATAGGGGGAAAGAGGGTGACGAAAATCAAAGGGGTGCTCTGTAAATTAGTCTGACTGAATACCAGCGAAGGAGAGGCGCATCAACGACGACAAAGGAGAGCTGCTGTCGATGGAGGAAGGAGAGGTGCTCCGTCAATCGGTGGAGAGGCACTGGGATGAAAAATCTTACAGTTGTGTGGTCAGGTCTGGTTGGGTCGCGTATGAGAGAAAGAAAGTTATTTATGGTATGAATTTTATTTTTGCTTGAGAATGAACATTAAATTATTTGAGAATAAGTACTATGTCCTATATTCTTCTCTCGCGAAGTCCATCTGTAACACCAATGTAACACCAATATGTATCTTTCTCTTCTCTGCGTTGTAACCATCCCCGTGCCCGCCAACGACGTAGCCGTTGCCATCCCCATGCTTGCTTGTGATCTAGCCATCGTCATCTCTGTGCTCGCCAACGACGTCGTCACCATCGCTAGTGCCGGTGCTACGATCTAACCCTAGCTCTCAATCGGAGAAGTCTTTGTGGATCGTTCTCGATTCTAAGCGCGAAGAGCAGCGGGTACCAGGAACCAGACAAATTAGTTGAATAGCTTAGGGTTCCAATCCATTGGTTAGAACCATCTAAAGCCTTAGTGGTGATTTTTTCCCCTTCCTAATTCAATTCCATTCGAAATTTGTTGCAAATTTTAAGTTGTTGAGTGGAATGGGTATAGTTGTGAATAGTAAAAAAAGATTTGTTTGGCAAGGAGGCTCATATTTGACAACCTTTAGGCTGTTTAGATCTATTTCACAAGATGATTTTGCTACTCAATGGATTTTTTTAGAATCACTTCTTTGGGTTCAAATAATTAGTTTTAGAAGATTGTGTGCAAGTATTTACTTCTCTGAGTATCGTACTTTGAGGTATTGAGGTATGAATGAACTTAGAAACTTTTCCCCTATTGAGGAAGGGTCTGTTTTCTCTTTTTATATGTTATTTTTAAAAATCAAACCAAACATTTCATGAGCTGAATGTCTATGTCTCACCTCTACAATGTTCATGTGTAGGTTTCCTAATTTCATGAGATGGATGCATGTATGTCTCACTTTTTCCATTTTTTTGTAGCGTCAATGGCGGCCAGATATATAGATTGTGAAATGTCTGAGAAGCTCCGTACAAGATTGTGTGATAACTTGCAGAATATTAATCAAATATTTTCACAAAGATCTGTAGATGAAAGAGTTTTTTTCTTGAACAGTGCAAATGATGTATTAGAAGCTTTCTCTTGAGATAAGAGATTGATATGTGAGTATTTGTTTTGTTTTGCTTTTAGAAATGGTAATGCACGGTTGAATTTTCGATATATATTGTAAATTAATGTTTCTACCGTAACAGTGATCAATGAACGATTCAGTGCCAAACGTGTGAGAAAAACCAAGTAAGTAACTTTTTGAGTGTATAACTATTTATTGAGTTAAAGCTGTACAAGATTTTGATTATGTTTGACTAACTTTTATATTTCAGGCCATCATCATCAATATTGCGTCTTCTAAGAATCAAGAGCAAAGTAGTGGCTCCATCAGAACTTGCAACAGAGCTTTCAAAAACAAAAGCTACACTTGCTGAAGACCAAGCTGTCAACTCAGAATACATTGCCCAAGAAGCTGTGGCGCCACTTCCTAAGCCAGATGATGGTGTCTATCTTGTTGGGATTTCTTTCAAAGAGATTTCGGATGCTGCCAGTTTTGAATGTCTCATTCGTGCTGATTATGCGGCGCTTGACCCTTTTCTCAAGGGCAAGATAAAGTCCTCAAAGACCATCGTGGCTACTTTTCCAGATTTGGAGTTTTTTTCGTGCCTGCTCCTTTGTGGGTGCAATTCAGGGATTTGCAGGACGCCGGTTATTTTCCTCATGTTCACTTGGTGTACTCCCCACCAGAGCATGCAAATAACCTACAAGAAATTCATGATGATGATGACCAACAATATAAAGATTTTGGATGTAACGTACAAGATGACAGTGACCAAGAACATCCACATTCAGAAGACACTGACCAAGAACATCCAGAAACTCATGTCCAACAAGTACCTATCCGGATAGGTACTTGTTCCCGTTGTTCTTGTTCCAGTTGTTCTTGTTTCGGATAGGTACTTGTTGGACATGAGTTTCTGGATGTTTTTGGTCGGTGTCTTCTGAATGTTCTGGATGTTCTTGGTCACTATCATCTTGTACGTTACATCCAAAATTTTTATATTAATGGTCATCATCATCGTGAATTTCTTGTAGGTTATTTGCATTCTCTGGCGGGGAGTACACCAAGTGAACACGAGGAAAATAACCGGCGTCCTGCAAATCCCTGAATTGCACCCACAAAGGAGCAGACACGAAAAAAACTCCAAATCTAGAAAAGCAGCCACGATGGTCTTTGAGGACTTTATCTTGCCCTTGAGAAAAGGGTCAAGCGCCGCATAATCAGCACGAATGAGATTCAAAACTGGCAGCATCCGTAATCTCTTTGAAAGAAATCCCGACAAGATAGACACCATCATCTGGCTTAGGAAGTGGCGCCACAGCTTCTTGGGCAATGTATTCTGAGTTGACAACTTGGTCTTCAGGTTGGTCATCATCATATTCATGCCCATTGTTCCTATGGATAGAGTAACTTTTTTTCTGCTTTTTTCTTTTCTTTTGGTCTTCAGGTTGGTCATCATCATATTCTGCTCCTTCCTTTCCAAACGAAACAGCCTCCTTTTACTCTTGGCAAGTGTAGCTTTTGTTTTTGAAAGCTCCGTTGCAAGTTCTGATGGAGCCACTACTTTGCTTTTGATTCTTAGAAGACGCAATATTGATGATGGCCTAAAATATAAAAGTTAGTCAAACATAATCAGAATCTTGTACAACTTTAACTCAATAAATAGTTATACACTCAAAAAGTTACTTACTTGATTTTTCTCACACGTTTGGCACTGAATCGTTCATTGACCACTGTTAGAGTAGAAACATTAATTTACAATATATATCGAAAATTCAACAGTGCATTACCATTTCTAAAAGCAAAACAAAACAAAAACTCACATATCAATCTCTTATCTGAAGAGAAAGCTTCTAATACATCATTTGCACTGTTCAAGAAAAAAACTACTTTGCCCTTGAAAAAAGGGTCAAGCGCCGCATAATGAGCACGAATGAGACATTCAAAACTGGTAGCATCCGAAATCTCTTTGAAAGAAATCCCGACAAGATAGACACCATCATCTGGCTTAGGAAGTGGAGCCACAGCTTCTTGGGCAATGTATTTTGAGTTGACAACTTGTTCTTCAGCTTGGTCTTCAGGTTGGTCATCATCATATTCATGCCCATTAGGGTTTAGGGTTTAGGTTTTTTTTTGGGTTTAGGGTTTAGGTTTTTTTTATTTAAGAAAAAGCAGTTTTATTCGTATAAATAAAGAAAAGGGTGGAGGGAACAAGTCTCCAACTCACCCAAATCAAGGGGGAGGGAACATAACTCCCACTCACCCACTAAGTAAAGAAAGTAAAAATGCTAAAACAAAAAGTCCAAAAAGGATAAAAGATGAAGGCTCGAAGGCTAAACAAAGAAGTCCCTAAAGGACAGGAAATGGCCTGAAGGCTAGGAAAATGTAGACCCAAAGACATCATCTAAGGTGGTCCATGGAAGTCTTGAGATAAGCCCATCTAATGGCTTCTTTCAGCGCTGGGTGACATGCATAATCCACCTTCTTGAAATCAGCATTTCGATCTTTACAAAGAAGATCCAAAGCACGCTTCTTCAAAACCTTCATTGAATGATAATCCTCGTCATTTTTAGTGACCAGGATAATAAAACCTTGCTCATCAACTGGGTAGAAATGAATCTCTCCATAAAGCTCAATACGATTGGCCGGGGAGGAGTCCGATACAGCGTGCGCCGTGGCCTCCGGGGTGTCCTCAACATGTGTCGTGTCACCCTTATCAGCCTGAGGAGAGCGTAGCTTCCTCATTTCCTCAGCAGCCCATTCCACGACAAATTTCAAATAGGGATGACGGGCATAGGCACCCGGCACAAATGTTTGATTGTTAACCAAGACCTCCCATGCACGTATTTGCAAAGCAACCAAGTCCATATAATCAACATCATCCTTAGTCGCAGGAATGATACAACCATTTGCGTCCACCGGGAAGCCATGCTCACCATATGTTGGCATAGGAGAGGTGCACGGGTTTTGGGTTTTGAGAGATGGGGGGTCTGGGTTTTGGGCTTTGGGCTTTGGGAGTTGGGCTGGGGGGTTTGGAAGTTGGGTT